TGCGACCAAACCCCGCGATCACTTTTTGTGACGTAGAGCTACTAGGATGGTCTTTGTATGAATGCTTGATTTCATCACTCTGTTCTTTTTGCTAGTATTTTTATCATGATTTCTGACTATGGTTCAAATGATCATTTTAGTACAATTTTTTTGTACCTTATGCATGCAATTTTAGTATGCATTTTCCGTAACAACTACTAAACAAACTGATGAAGCATTGATGCTGGTTTGTACAAATGCTTGATTTCATCACTCTGTGCTTGTTTTTCCTACTTCCTCTGGTCCTCTATATGTGTCATTGTAACATGTTTTTGTTGGTCCTGTATATGTGTCTCCACTTAACTTAACAATTTTTGAGTGTTTTGGCAGTTGGATTTTACAAATGACATGGAGAACATGTACAATCAGTACTGAGGACATTCTAGTAACAAGGCAAACTAAAGTTTGCATTGACAATGGTCCACCATGCACCTCTTTTGAACAAGAATAACCAGTAGTAGAAGAAAGTTACCAATAGTAATGATGAGAATTACAGCCTCAAAAATATGTCACTCTTAGCTATCCTCATGTGAAAGTAGAGGCATATCAAAATGACCGTTAGAACCCAACTGACAGTGAAATCACATTCATATACCAAAAATAGCTGTGTTTGAAGGCTTATTCCTTCATTGCTACCGGTACAACATCATAAGGCATAACAAGATCAACATAATTAAAAAGAACCATTCAAATCGCCCAAATTTTGAGCTTATTTCAGCAGTAAAGGTGCTAAAATGACACATACTAGTAGTATGAGGATACTAGTAGTGGACCAGAGGATTTCTTTCCATCATGGTTTGATGCTTTGTTATTTATTTTCAATTTTGCTAGTAGTCACATGCCACCAGCATTTGAGCTGGCATCTTATTCCTGTACCTTTATTGTTTGACTATTTTTCTTACATTTCAAAACCCTACTGGCTCTACTAGGACTTAAAACATCCTATTGGAAAGTTTCTTGAAAATCCAACCCCCAAACCCCCCTTCCTCTTCGAGAACCAATTACAGTCAAAACTATTTTAGTCTTTTTTATGTTTCGACTTCCATGATTTATGGGTGCTGCGGCAATTCAAATCTTCGTCAATAACGTGAAGTGACGTGTAAGCGCTCTACCTATCGGGTGCCGGATGTAAACAGTCAGTACGAGTACCTGTATGTTGGTATGGCGGATGGGAAGCATCACTGACGCGAGATGAACGGATCAGCCGCAGAGTTAGATTTAGTATTACGAAGAATTTCGGAAACGACAGCAACAAATGGATTCTATCGTTGTTGATTAATCGTCGCTTTCGTTCTATATCTTGTCTTGATCGCGGTCGGATCGGAATGCCCAAGCGTTTGAATAGACTTTGAACTGATAGATACTGTTTGGTTTGATACCCAAGAATTGTTGAGAGCAGACAGTGTGTGGTAACAGTAATATAATGGCGAGAAATTCAACGACGACGACGATACTGATGATTGCCTTTGCCGCTGTGAGTGGATTCCAGGTGGCGTCCGCATTTGCTCCCTCTGCAGCGAGAAACACCGCGGCGCGAGCCGCATCCTATGTGGCGTTTTCTCGATTGCAGAAACCGCAGGCAATGACGCATCACACATCGCGCCTTTCCATGTCGACGGCGACCGACGAAACCTCTTCCCTCGCCACACCCGAGGAAGTCCCCAAGAAGAAGCCCGTCCGACCGGACCGCGTTCTTTCGGGCGTCCAGCCCACGGGAAGCCTGCATCTCGGAAACTATTTGGGAGCCATTGTCCAATGGGTCGACTTCCAGAACAAAGACCAATACAACGACGACGGCGAGGTCGTCCCCGTTGAAAATTTTTTCTGCGTCGTGGATTTGCACGCGATCACCATGCCCCACGATCCCAAGGAACTCAAGGAGAGCACTCTTTCGAGTGCGGCCTTGTACATTGCAGCCGGTACGTACATTTGGGAATTGGTCCTACACTTAAGCGAGGGCCGTGTTGGTCTCTTTTGCCTTCCTTTCCTTCTAACAGTGCCCGGCACGACCGACTAACATCTCATTTATCGCATTTGCATCAAAAATCGTTTCTCGGCATCATCCTTGTCTCCTTTTTCAATCCGTATGGATATTTTTTTAAAACGACAACAATCAAATGAAAAACTACATCCCATTCCAACCTTGAAACGATAAAAAAAAAATTTTTGAACACAGGCATCGACCCCGCCAAATCTAAAATCTTTGTACAGTCCCACGTTCCGGCCCACTCCGAACTCGCCTGGTTGCTCAACTGCATCACGCCGATGAATTGGTTGGAGCGCATGATCCAGTACAAAGAGAAATCAAAGAAGCAGGGCGAATCCGTCGGGGTCGGCCTTTTCACCTACCCTATTCTGATGGCCGCGGACATAATGCTGTACCAATCCACCAAGGTCCCCGTCGGAGAGGACCAGAGACAGCATCTTGAGCTGACGCGGGACATTGTTCGCCGCTTCAACGACCTCTTCTGCAAGGGAAACCAGTACAAAAAGCGCTGCAAGGCCGCGGGCGTGGCCTCCAGGCCGGTCTTTGTCGAACCCGATGCCATCATCCTGAAGGAAGGCGCCCGCGTCATGAGTCTAACGGATGGTACCTCCAAGATGTCTAAGAGCGACCCGTCGGACGCCTCCCGGATCAACGTCCTGGACGATCCCAAGACCATCCGCGACAAGATCAAGCGGTGCAAGACGGATTCCTTCGAGGGGATCGAATGGGACAATCCAGAGCGGCCGGAGGCAACCAACCTGCTGAACATTTATGCCGCCGTCCAGCCCACCAAGCGGTCCAAGGAGGACATCCTTGCCGAGGTTGGGGACATGTCCTGGGGAGAATTCAAGCCCGTTTTGGCGGAGGCCATCGTGAACCACCTCAAGCCCATCCAGGACCGGTACCACGAGGTCCGTTCGGACCCCGCCGCCCTGGAGGCCATCTTGAAGGAGGGAGCCAATGCCGCAAACGAGGTGGCATCCCGCACCCTGTTCAATACCAAGGTTGCCATGGGATTCGTCACCCCGCCAGCGGAATAAACTTTGCAACGCAATATCATAATAGCACACCTCGTCTTTCATACTTTTCTATGTTTTGTCTACTCTTGATCTTTCACAACGCTTCAGTGACCCTTTTGTTCGCGTACGTAACAATCGAAATTTCACTTCGTGTAGCAAGTCGCTTGAGAAAGAAATAATATTCATGATTTCATCTCTTAATGCTGGTGTAAAGTATGTGATAGAACATGTTCGGATAGATAAATTTAGAATAACTAAAACGTTATAGCTGCGTTGAAATTGGGCTGGGGATCCTGATGCCTCGGACTGACTGTATCGTTGAATTATGGCTCCAGCATCCATCAGTTCGGTGGTCCCACAAACCCAGCCTCTACAGCAAGGTAGTGTATCGCCTCGTTTCCTTCAGCTCCGTCTGGTGCTCTCCGTGTATCAACTGTCGATCTCTGTACGGCAAGGATCGAAGTATTTGTTAGTTTGTGTTCGCTCGATTCTTGATCTCTAGGGTATAGCAAGACAGAATGCAATGGTCGTTCGTATCGTTTGCACGCATTGGTGCATTCGGATGATGCTGCGCCGCTGAGGCACGCCTAGAATCCCCCCACGGGATCCAGCATGATTCCGGCCGCAAAGGCACCGATTGCGAGCACAACGATTCCGACGGCGGCAATCACAGCTCCGCGCTGCTCGTCCTCGGTTTGGACCTCGACGAGGGCCTGGCAAATATCGTTCTCGGCACCGGATGTCTCGCACTCGGTGATGCGGTAGACCCAGCCTCCGGGGGAGATCGTGTCGTCGAGGTACGAATACTGTCCTCCGTCGACGCCCTTGGAAGCCAGCGGTCCCCAGCTCTCGTAGGAGGCAATGGTTACAAAGTCTTCCGTTCGGGCCTTGCGGCGCTTGATGGCGAATCCCTTCGTGGAAGCCTCAGAGCTGGTAGCCCACGTGAGTTCGACCTCGTTGTTGGAAACGACCTTGCAGTTGAGGCCACCCCCGCTGAGCTCCTGGGCCTGGGAGTCCATGAGGAGGGCTCCCGAAACGCCGGCCTCCTGGTCCTTGCGCTTGCGGCGGGCCTCGGCCTTTTGCTTCATAACCGTCTTGATCTCGGCCTCCGCCTCGGGAGTGATGTTCATCCATGGCGCGTATTCAACACCATTGGCGTTTCTGAGGTTAGAAGCACGCTTCATCTTCGTGATCTCTTCGTTCGCCAGTGTCTCGACTTCTTCCTCGAGGGACATGGTGTCGAAATCCGTCTCGCCATCGGCCTCGGCTGCGGGGGCGTCGGCGGAGGGCTCCTCAGAAGCAAAGAACGGGGCGTTCATGGAAAGGGCGACGACTGCAACAACAACAACAACAACAACAACAACATGGGTTTGGAAGCATTCGAATCCCAGGTTGGCAACGAGGCAGAAGATAGAAAAGAGACACGAATGACAGAACAAAAGCGACGGAATGAGACAACACATGGGGGCGGATGAGTTTCGGTGGTACTTCGACAATTTGCTCCGCTACACCGCCCGACACTCACCATCCAATCGTTGCTGTTGGACAGCGGCGAGGGGCTTTCCGGCAGGAGCGAAAGCGTTGGCTCCCTGTGCGAGAAGTGCGACGGTCAATAGCTTGTTCATCTTTATTCTGTAAGGATTTGAAAGTTGGTCTTCAATTTTAATAACAAACTCGTGATGTAGCAAAGATTGCTTGTCGGTCTGTGCACGGGATGTGTTATCGAATGTTGGGAGCCCTGCTGCTGCGGTGTGTGTCTCTGTGTCAGTGGCCTAGTGATTCGACTCAACGACGACAACAACGACGATACCAAACAAGCCAGACGATGATGATTCGCGGTTTCACCTACGGTATGCTGTACGTCGTGCACCGTGGGACTCTGGTAGTAATGATGGGGGGGGCGCTCCGGAAGGTATCATTTTGATAGAAGAACCGTACACGTTGAGGACGTACTCGTACGAAGTACTGGACGAGTACGTACCACCGTACTTTTTTGTGTGAATTTTGTTGTTTGAAGGTTTTACTGACGTCGTTCGAGCGTGCGTGTCAATATGGGACAAGTGCGCAGCGTCCAGGACGCAGAGGCTCACGATTCATACGACTAGTTGGACTAATGTCAATTCAAAAGGGGAATGATAATTCCGTTGCGGAGTGAAAATTTGTCCAACCCCCCTTTTCTGAAATCCAAAATCCAAACCCTCCCTCTGCGCCGCAAAAGCAACAAAACTACGAGTAGTACCGGTACTTGGTACGTACCGGTACCGTAAAGTACCATACCAGCAAAAACAAAAACTGAAGATGACGATGCAATCAAATGATGAAAGTAACAACGATGGGGTTGCAAGTTGTACGACGAGACTAACAATTGACACTACAGTAAGAGAAAAGAGCAATTGAAACACCACGACTGCGTGTTGCGATATATCAATAGCCAAGCGAAGCAACCATCGGCGTAGAGGGACGGAAGGAATAGACCACGAATAAACTACAAAAATACCTCATCACTAAAAATATATCACAGAATGGCATCCAACAACGGAGAGAATCCAGGTGCTACCACCGGCGGAAGCAACAACAACCCTAATGTCTCTACGGAAGACCTTCCCCCTCTGATTCCCGGAAGGGAGCGGCACGTCCTGCAAAGGCGCGAGGAACTCCGGTTCGAGGTTACCTTTGGCGGGTCTGCCTCGTCCACGATGAGCAACGCCTCTGGAACCACTACCTTTTGCCTGCAGAAAGGATCTTGCGAGCTCTACGGCTGCGAATTGGCCCTGGGAAAGACCTATACCATCGCCCACGGGGGAGTCAAGGCGGCACTCTTCACCTGGCACGGCTGTGTGGTAGACCTGGGGGCCGCCGACGACGGGGAGGGAAGCACTTCCGGGGTGGAGTTTTTCTCCTACACCAGCGACGAAACCGATGCCAATGTGGCCTTTGTCAATGCCCACGCGCAGCTGGAGGCTCTAAGAGACGACGCGGCGGCGGAAAACTTTAACGCAAAAAGCGGTAGCGATGCGAGCAGCGGCGGCAGCAACGGACAGGGACCACGGGTCATGATTGTCGGGCCACCCGAATGCGGGAAAACGACCCTCACAAAAACCCTGGTGGCCTATGCTTGCAAGGTCGGACGGACCCCGCTCATGGTCGACCTGGATCCGATGGACAACACCATCTCGGTCCCTGGAGCTCTTGCAGTGGCCCCGATGCACCAGTCCGCGGTTGCGGTCGAAACGTATGCCACCACGGGTCTTCCGGTAAACGGAGGGGGGACTGGCGGCGCGGGAACCGGCAACAGCAACACCAATGGCTCAACGCCCGCTATTCATCCGCTCGTGATCTACCACGGATCGACGGCAAAACTCCACCCCGATCTCTTCCGGGGCCAGGTCGATTCGCTGACCGAGTGCATCGAAAAGCGCCTGCAGGCCGACGAGCTTGGCCGGTCTTCGGGGATTATTGTCAACACCAACGGATGGATCCGGGACGAGGGATACGATTGCTTGCTTCACGCGGCAAAGGCCCTCAAGATCACCGTCCTTCTGGTGGTCGGACACGATCGCTTGTACAGCATGCTGACGAGCCACTACAAGAAACAACAAAAACACCACGAAGAACAACTAGCCGCTGCGGCCGAAAGCGGCGAAGGAAGCACGATACCACCGCTGCCCCCGCCGCCGAAAATCCTCAAGGTGCCCCGCTCGGGGGGGGTTGTGAGCCGACCGAGCCGGTTCGTGGCAAGCTGCCGGTCCCGGGCGGTCAAGCGGTACTTTTACGGAGACCTAGTGGCCGATCCAAACAACAATTCCACGGGCGATACCATCGACGACGGGGCCGGCAAGCCCCACCGTCTCGTCAACCAGCTCACCCCCTTTGCCATCCAGCTCCCCTTTGCCGAGATAAAGATCTACAAGGTCAGCAGCATGGCTCTGAGCAATTCGCTGCTCCCGGTCAACGCGGCCCACCAGTCCACCGACGCCATCCAGCTCGCCGAGATCGACATCGTGGGGGACCCAGAGGCCGCCAAGGGCCTCCAGCACGCCTTGCTGGCCGTCTGTCACCCAACGGCAGTCGCTAGGTACGAGCAAACAGGCAAGGGCCGGGACCTTGTCACGGCGGGGGTGGCGGGCTTTTGTGCCGTCGACAAGGTCGTCACCGAGACGGACCAGATGCACCTCCTGAGCCCCTGCGCGGGCGTGCTGCCCTCCAAGACCTTTGTGGTGGGGGACATTACCTGGATGGAATAAACACATTGAAATACAGTGAAACACCACTAGCAGTCGTAATTGTTATAGAAACGACACTCTCTCGATAGGAATGGGAGGATCGGGAGACAAATACTACTCGGGAGAGAGAAACGCAGGGCACGATCGACGGTTGCGGCAACGCATATGGATGGGCCGCGAAGATCGTGGAACCACTGAATGCGAGAGCCTGGGTCTGCCGTTCCGGCACCATAATTGAGGGCCTGGCTGTTATAGTGGGGAAAAGCTAACGATAGAACCTATCGGAACGGTGGGGAGGGGCCCGGTAKGCTGATATCAGCGGATTTGTCTCGTCTCGTAGCTAATTTATTAGTACTAATATGTTAATGGAGGAGTTGTTTGCTGTATTACGAACTTTGTAGCGACATTTTCATTGTCTCCGAGCTGTTTTCAAGACTTTTGCACCAGTACAAATTAACTTCGTGGTCCAGAATAAGAACAAGGCAATATCAACAAATAATGCTCTGAAAAGTTGCTTTCAATTTCCTTAGTGCTGTCTGATGTTCAGAATGAAATGGTCAAACAAAATTAAGGAAGAGATACTGCCAATTGCATATACTATGGATGCAGTAAATGAACAGGCCTTTTTGCCTTTGGTAGTAATATCGTGCTCAAGGGCATGATGTAATGACTCCTCCTCTTCTTTACTATGGGAGGATGCACTACTTCTGGATTGATCAAGAAGATGGAGATTGCAAGAGGCAAGAAGACATATTGTATGGGCTTTCTTGTTACTTGACATGTGTGGAAGAACTATAAATATATTGCCTTGAATACAGAGTAGTGAGATCAATTACTATGGATGTGATACTGTTGTGATGCAAATCATCGTCACTCATTGCTGTTGTCAATTTTCAGCCATCCAAGAAGACAAGTCCAAGAAGATGGTGGCATTCATTACTAGTAGTAGCTAATAGTAGCATCATAAGCCTCAAGTCAAAAAGATGAGTGCACTGGTACTACAAAACTCCTCATTCTGTTGGATATTGATAATCTTATTAACCATTTGTTTCATGAGCTGGTGGTGGTGGTGGATGAATCTACTTCTACTTCTACTGGCTGGCTAGTACTACTAGCAGCATTACCACTAGTAGACCAATGTTTTAGTACAGCTCATGATGCTTTCTTGGGTTTAATTTAAGAACATTCATTTGTTTCTTTCCAACCCAACAATCAAATTTGTGCTGATAGTACTGACAATGCTTTTGAATACTTTTGTCATGTTACCAACCCCTGTAGGTGGATGAATATATCTATTCTCCTCCTGCTACTACTACTACTACTAGTATTAGTAAGTGCCCAATGAAAATAATTGCAACAAGAGAATACTAGCTGCTGGTGATGGTCAGTTGAATTTTTTAGACAAGCCACAAGTATGATGTGAGCCAGAAATATAGATGTAGTACTACTGCTGCTAGTAGTAGTCTAATATCACCTCTGCAATACTAGAATATTATCAGTTTCTACTAGTACTACTACTGGTAGCACCACCACCTCATAGTACCTGTAGTAGTAGCTTCTGATTGTTGGGTGAGGGAGTAGAACATTTATCATTGCTGTTGCTGGTGGTGGGGATATTGCAAGTAATAATGGGATTGGGAATGATACTATTTGTACTACAACGAGAAGTAGCTAGTATGGCATTGCAATTGAGGCAGCTTTCTGGTGACAAGAACACAAGAAGTATCAGCAGTAGCTCCATACTGCAGTAACAGGTCTAGTGACAACATCATAGTACTACTAGTAGTAGTAAGTAGTACCAGAGGAGTGGTGGTAGTAATCAAATTGCAGGGACATCAAAATTCACGAACTTTTGGAAAGTGGGGGGTTGGGGTGGATCTAGAGGGGGAAAGATGCAGTTGTTGGGCTACCCCTTGCTGATGACACACCACTTCCTGAATTCACAGTAGCATTGCAACCTTACTAGCTAGCTACTAGTAGCTACTAGTAGTAGAAATATGAACATGCCACCTTCAATAGAAACAACAACTTATCAATGATTAGTATTAGTGCTAGTACGTCACAGCTTAGTAGAATGAAGTTTTCAGATCACATTACAACAAGCATGACAATTATTGAACTTGTCATTGTACATAGTGCACTCTCCCCAAGCTACATATGATCTGATGCTTCATATGGTGGGATAAAGGTTGTATGACTAATAAATTAACCATCTCACATCTGCCTATTTGTTACTGGGGGACAGAGAAAGCTATTTCCTCCTCTTGTTATTACTATGCTGTCAAACACTGTTGCTGTGAACTGTTCTAAATGTGCAATTTACCCATACAGTATTAGTATATTGCACAAAATCTGAACTTCAGTAATCAGCAATCAGCAAGCAGAATCAAGCAACTGGCCCCAGTTGTTTGTGGGCCACCTTTCACTTCAGTGGATTACTGACCTTGCTCAGTGGATAACTGACCTTGCCCTTCACTCCAGCAGCTCGAACTCCCCAATTGTGCTGGGGGGTTATCTTGTGGGATTCTTCCTTACTTCTTACTCCTATACTATCTCATTGTGGGAACAGACGAGAAATAAAGAGCTCCACAGCAACACTCTTTCTCAGAAACAAACACAGGACCTGCAGTGGATTATAACAAAAGTCCACAATCTATTTGCTCTCAAACCACAGACATATCTGTCTTGTGCTCACTGAGTCCCAGAGGATATGGAAACATTCACATCTGATGCACTTACTACTACTATCTCCTTGCTCTTGTACTACCTTTACAAGAAAACTATTTAGGAGAGCATACACAAAGTATCTCCCACCTCTGCTTTGAACACACAAGAAACTGTCACACAGTATTTTTCACACCCACTTCATACCAGTAGTACACAACTAACAGAATGCCACACAAGATGGGCTGGTCTTTGACACGTACTCCAACAAGAAGAAATGACACAAAATGTCTGCCTTGCCACCAGAGACGTCCCTGGCCTCTTCTGTAACAAACCAGACCATCCAAACTACTATGAATTTTTTTCCCAACTAACCCATTAGTAACCAGCCCACAAACAACCCTGGCCACACCTCCACAACAACCACTCCTCAGAGGGAGGAGGTGCCAGCCCTCGGAGCAGCTACTAGTAGGAGCATTCTTCATACCCAAAGTTATGGTTCCATATAGTGCCTCTTCTAATAGTTCACGAGGTTAAATATACTGATAGATGGCTCAACAAGTCAGTGTCCTACTAGGTATCTAATAGTAGTAGTATGATGATGAAAGATTGAATGAGAGTACTACTAGTAACAACCACCAGCTGCTGCTACAAAAATTCACTCCATACTTAGCATACATCTCATCCTTGTCCTCAATTTTCTTTAGTACCAAGTACTACTAATAATATACTAGTAATAGTGCTAGCTCAATAGTACTTTGTCGTTAATCTGCTTAGCTAATTCTCAAGTGAATCAAACTTTTCTCGCTAGTAATGCTGTTACTCTTCACTACTACTCGTAGTACTACAAAAACAAATGTTAATGCACTAACACAGTAAGCTCTGTCCTTCTTTGCTGGCATACTTTGTACTAAAATAGATCCAAGCATTGTCAATTGAATTTCACATCATGATGTTGTAGAGTACAATAATTTATAGAAATACCTTGTGTTGGTTCAGCAAAATGGACACATCAATTTTGAGATACCAGACGTAATTTGATATTAGATTACAGTTCCCACTCTATCCTCCACGATTGTTGGTCTTCACTATTCTATCACAATTGAACTTAAAAGTGATAGACCTTTCAGGAAGACGAAACAGAGCATTCTTGACAGCAATCTTTTCATGACATCAAGGCCAACGTCAAAGTCGAACTAAATCTGAGACATTGCATATTCCCATTACTTTTCCTCCGGACGATGCTTTACAAATAAATACTTTAATATTGCGAACACTTTCAATAGGCAATTTTTATTTTTCTATTAGTATACATTAGAAAAGAGCAGAGAGACCTCGCTCGTCACATTTTTGACATATATTATAAAAGAATAAGAGAGGGAGAAGCGTTGGGATGTTTGCTGGTCAAGATGCAGCAAATAATTCTCAATGCAGCGGTTGTTACTGCCGTTCGCATCTCTTCTCTGTTTCATCGAATTCCATTGTGGAAGTGCCTTACGTTGGCACCCTAACTCTATGCATACGTCATGCGATGTCCTGACATCTTGCTTCCATTAACTGGTTTCTTGGGAAACCAATTCGAGACATCAACATTCGCACGGTCATCTGCGCAACCGCATGTGTTTGTGCATGTAAGCCGACTGGTATAATCAGAGAGAGTAGGAAATTTGAATATTTGATAGTTGACTTCCCCCATAAGTTGGTGAGTTTTTCGCAACTCGGATGCTGCATTCTTGTGCTTATCACGGGCTTTGGTAGTCAAATACTCTTCAAGACGCCGAAGATTGTCGAAGGCGTCCTCAAATTGGAATGAAACAACTTGGCAGTAGATCAGTTTTTTTAGCGATTGCGACCAACCTCGTTGTGATTGTTCCGTATACGATTCAGATTGAAGCTTGACAAGGTCTTTGTATACAGCCCGCGCTCTCTCTGTTTCTTCTAGCTTGCAATGGCAAAAGGCAATGTTGGTCATTGTGCTCAAAATAAGTTTGTTATCAGCTTCAAGCAATACCTTTTGTATCTTCAAGGATTCAGTAAACGTTTCGATGGCATCCCTATACTTCTCCTGTTCCAAATCAATGTACCCTTTGTTACACATTGTGGACGCCATTGTAAGGTGTCCTGGTTTCGAAGTGTTAGACACCAGTCTAAATGCCGAAAGCCACATGGAACCAAAAATTTCTTTCTGCTCTTTAATTGCCTGCATATATTTCTTCCTGGCTTCGTCGTAGTTTTTGATTTCAAAGTTGACACAACCGATGTTATGATGAATCTTTGCCTTTTTCAATTTTGCTTCCCGTTTCGACTCCCCGTCTTCGGCCTCACAGCACTCTATTTCTCTCAACTCAAGGGCATCCTCGAAAACATTGATGCTTTTCTTATATTTTTTCATTGACAGCAAAATGATGCCATACTCCACAAGTGAGTCTGCTACTTTTGGATCATCTTCTCCGAGTGTGAGTTTCCTGATTCGCACAGCCTCCTCGATCGCATCTCTTGCATCATTAAGGAGTCCAGCGCGTAAATTGGCAACGGCTACATTGTGAAGAGCTGATCCGACACGATGGTGTTCTTCACCATATCTATTTAGTAAAGCCGATAGGATACTTTCAAACATTTTAATCGCTCTTCCGTATTTTCCAATCTTGCGTGTAAATTATTCAGGGAAAAATTTTGTTAGTTTTGAAGATAACATTTGATCTTTGATAACGGGAGTGAAAAGAGAAGTTTGCAGAATATAACATATAAAAATGATGCAGTACCTACCGTCATACTTTTGCAAGCAGCGCGATGCTTGGCTCTCAATTCCTTATCAAATCTCACTAAGGAAGCGCCATGACTCGATTCTTCTGTGAATTCATCACTTTCTTCGGATTGAGAGTCATCAATGTCAGTATAATAGGTTCCCGAGTCGATGCTTTCATCAAAATCACTATCGAATTCCTCGACACTGTTTTCGGAAACGGATGTATCGACCGTCCCTGGAGAAAACAACCTTCCGAAGAAACCGTCCTGCTCTCGATCGTCTTGATTGCCTGATCGACCCACATCCTTGCTTTTCCTGCCCATTGTTTGATTTCGTCTTTTCAATATTTTTTCGAAAATGTATGTATCTATATATTACTTTGCTAAGATGTCTTCTTGCTCAAGAGTTCAATACTTTAGTGGGGGCAGGAATAAACAGAAGTACTTGGCAAAGTATGCGAGGGGTGGTGGCATGTGCGATAGTGGAGGGATTCGAATACACACAAGAGCCGAATTTTCTCTTCGTTGAGATGGAAGCAGTTCTCTTGACTTCAAGAGAAATATCCGGGAGGTGATGAGATGTTGTAATACTGGTGAAGTCGCCATTGACGGAAGTGCGAGCAAAATAAACTATGGTACTTAGCACTTTTGATAAAGTGCGTCAGTATTGAATATACATTGCTAGTTATGATTCAAATAATCTCTGACCGGTTAGATCGAGGTATGCGTTAAATGTTATATCATGAGAGAGACTATCCTCGATAATCTTGTGTAGCGACTAGTACGAATACGGTACCAGAAGCAGTTCTGTGCGAGTTAAACAAAATTGGCGACTTGAGCGATGAAATTGTGTGCACTGCAGGGGGATCGCCTCGCGCAAATGACTCGCGCGCGAGCAAATTGGATGGTTGAAAGCAGATGACGTCGGAAACTACAGTCCAAAAGTGTACATATAAGTTGAGCGAGGTCAACGCCATCAAACAGCGATAAAAAACTAGTTAAATGTATTAAGTGATGAATAATATATTGAAGCGCCCGCGCAGAGTTTTGTGATCGCCCATACAACGATGTTACCCGATAAATTCAACAGATGCTCTCAGAGAAACGAATCTTCAAGTGCCGTCTATTTTTTTTGATTTTTGAGCAACTCTCCTCGTTCTCACAAATTGCGATTGACACAAGAAAAATCTTAAGTTTCTCCTCACTAACAAAACAAACTAAAATCATGAAGCTCCAAATCAAGCGCCCTTCCATGCCTTCCATGCCTTCGATGCCTAGTGCGAAGTCTCTTTCCTTCAGAAAGAAGAAGTCTGCCTCCCCTGAGGAAGACGAGGCTGAGGTCTCCACAACCGTAACCAAGGTCCCTCGCAAGGGAGTTCTCGGAAAGATGGGAATGAAGAAGAAGTCCATTACCAAGCTTTCTCCTTCCGCCAATGTCGCTGAGTCTGTCCAAAAAGAAGACCCTAAGCCTGAGCCTGTTGAGCAGACCCCTGTTGAGGAAAAGCCCGAGGAAGCCCCTGTCGCTGAGGAGGCACCCGCCACGGAAGACGCTCCCGCTGATGAACCAGCCGAGAAGGAAGCCGCCGAAGAACGTGAAGAAGAGGAAGAAGCCCCTGTCGAGGAAGCCGCCGAGGAAACCCCTGCCGAGGAAGAAGTTGACTCTCGCGAACAACCTGAAGTCAGCACCGGATTGCTCTGCGGATGCGTATAAACAGTGTACGCAACACTTCAAAAAGAATTTTTTTGATTCTCAATCCCAATCGTCGCAAAACGAGAGGTAAACAATCAACCTTCTCTCTCACTGTGACAATGCTTTAATAGCTTTGTCAAAAGTGCTTGATCGAAGCCGGACACTACGAACGGCGTTCCTTCTATATGTGTCAATGTAAAAATTCTGTATTTAGAACAATTATTTATACAACATGTTTAAACTTTGCGGCTTCTTTTGTTTGAGGCATCTAGTTTTTGTCAAAAAGTTTCAGTGAGTCCCAAAAATTCTTTTGAACACAATATTCACAAACTTCGTACTATTGTAATACTGTAATAATATCATCATTATTTTTGTTATTTCTTTTTCGAATTTTTCAAGCGAGCAATTTTCTCCGCCTTCGCAGCTGCGGCGGCCTCAACTTTCTTCTGTCTAGCTTTGTTTTGTGCCTCTACTTGTTCTTCCAACTCTCGAAGGATCGACTCCTTGTAGTCATCGAATCCTTCCGTCCATTCCGTAACGCCTTGTTTCTCGACAACCCAAAGCGTGCAGTCGCACTCCTCGATGAGGCGCTGATCGTGGGTTACCACCACGATGCCTCCGTTAAATTCGTTGATGGCATCGCAGAGGGCGTCGATAGTTTCGATATCCAGGTTGTTCGTGGGTTCGTCGAGCAATAGAATGTGCGGCATCTGCAAACTTAGTTCGACCAGGACAACACGGGCCTTTTGTCCTCCGCTTAGGTCTCTCATGACGACCTCGTGGGCATGGCCTTCCAATCCGTATCGTCCGAGCCGGTTTCGGCAGCTCTGGTAGTCCAGGTCATCGAAACGAGAACGCAAGTGCTCTACCGGGGTCTTGCCCATGGGTAATCTGTCCACAAAATGCTGGTTGTAGATACCCATCCGCAACCGAGGATTTCTTCGAACTTCTCCTTTTGTGGCATTGATTTCTCCCGTCAATAATTTCAAGAGAGTCTGGGCGACAACAAAAAACAAGCGAACAACCAAAAATAGGCAACGAATGAGAAAACCAATCAATCACGCAAATTCCATTCTCGACTCGGCCAGCGAACGAAATGTCGGCACGAACAAAGCCGCTGCAAAACTCACCGTTTTACCCGCACCGTTCGGGCCAACCACACAGATGCGGCTGTCCATGTCGATACCGAAATCAATCTTGTTGAAAATGACCGGGTGCTTTTCCGAGTAGCGAAAGTGCACATTGGTGACCTCCATGACGGGCCTGGTGAGCTGCGGAACCTCGGAAAATTCGAGCTTGACGGTGTACTCCTTGGGTCTCTTGATGAGCTCCTGGATTTCCGCTGACTCGGTTCCGGCGGCGATCGCCTGGTTTTTCTTCTTCTGGCTCCTGGCACCGGCCTCGCGCTTGGACTTGGTCTTCATGATTTCGGTGGCCTTGGACTTGGACTGGCCCTTCCGCTTGAGCTCCCGGATGCGTTTTTCTTGTTTTTCCCACGCCCGGAGTTGCTGCTTGAGTCGATCCGCCTCGGCCTTCTTGAAGCTGTCGTAGTTGCCCTTGTAGGCAATGAGTTTCAGGTCCTCGATGTGGAGGATTTCCTGGCAGACACTGTTCAAAAAGTCCTGGTCGTGCGATACGACAAAGAGCGTCTTCTTCCAGGTTTGCAGGTAGTCGTCTAGCCAGATGACGGCGTTGAGATCCAGGTGGTTGGTCGGTTCATCGAGCATGAGCAGGGTGGGTTCGACAAAGAGGGCCCGCGCCAGGGAGATTCTCATGCGCCAACCACCGGAAAACATCTTGGTCGGTTTGGTTTGCATCTCGGTGGTAAATCCAAGCCCGGAAAGGATTCCGTGGGCCTTGGCCTCCATCGAGTCGGCTCCCATGTTGGCCAGTTCTTCCACCACGACCCCGAGTCGATCGATCGTTTCGTCCGATTCGTCCCCGGCGTCGACCTTTGCCATGAGGATCTTTTCTTCCTCGACGAGGTTCCAGCGGACCTTGTCGGCCCTGAGGACGGCCTCGACGGCCGGTGTGTTGTCGGCCACGACCTCCTGCTCGACGTACAAAAAGTCGATGCGCGGGGGGAGCTTGAGGTCCTTGGAGGCAATCATCTTCAGGAGCGTCGACTTACCCCTACCGTTCGGCCCGACCAGCCCGTAGCGACGTCCGTGCGCAATGGTGAGGGCGGCGTCCTTGAAGAGGATCTTTCCGGCGGCGGAGATGCTAAAGTTGGGAATGTTGATGTCCAGGGAGTTTTGCCACTGCGGATCCTTCTCGCTGACCGCGGTCTGGGAACAGGCAAACTGGGCCCCCTCCCGGCTGGCCTTGGCGGCGACCTTTTCGTACTCGGCGGCCCGTGCCGCGGCCTCGCGTTCTTTGATGAGGCGCTTTCGCTCCTTGTTGCTGAGTTTTTTCCCGTCCTTGCCGTACAGCAGCTGTGGAGCGTGCGTAGTTCCGGTGACAGCACAGCACACCATGCCATAGCAAAAGACGGTAATGGTCATTCAGCGTTGGACGAACACACCACATTACGCGAACGCGCGAGCCACCAAATGTCCAAGAACACAACGATGCGAGCAACGAGGAACAACCGCTGGTGAGATTTGGTACTGAAAGGTGGCATATCGGTCTCCTCGTGTTTCCACGTTCCCCCTGTTCTGTGTGCCCGACACCATGCCACCGGGGCATACTGCACGCTCGGCTGTAGCGTGCTGTAGTCCGCCGTGCAAGGGAACCAATCCGTCGTCCCGCCCGTTTCTGCTATCGGTACGTACCTTGCTGGGGTCCTCGTCCGCGGCGTTTTCCGCCTCGCGCATCGCGTTGCTCTTGTCGGACCACACCACGTCGTCGGGCGCACCGTACACCAGGTCCTCGTTCTCGCCCTCCCCGGCCAGCTGGGTGGGAGCCTCGGGGATCTCCTGCGGCTTGGGGGTCGGTCGGGCCGGTGGTTTCGCCTCCCCGGCCGGTTCGGAATCTCCGCCGTTCTCGGCCTGCTCCTTTTTCTTCATGGCGGCCTCCATCTGGAGCTCGAACTTGGACTTTTTGGCGGCGGCCTTCTCGGCCCGCTCCGCTTCGGCGGCTTCTTCCTCGTCCCGCTTCTTGTCTTTCTTGTTCTTCTTTTCTTTCTTCTCCTTCTTTTCCTTCTTCTCTTTTTTCTCCTTCTTGTCTTTCTTTTCCTTCTTGCTCTTCTTGGAGGGTTCGAGGATCGTAAAGGCGATCTGCTCCACCTCTTCATCGTCCTCGTCCTCCTCCTCTTCTTCCTCGTCCTCGCTGTCGTCGTCCATCATTGCCGCCAGCTGGGCCATGCGACCGCCCTTCTTTTTGTTGTTCCTTCGGGAAGCTGGCTGGGGAACGTATTCCTCCTCCTCCTCGTCGTCGTCGTCATCCTCGTCGTCGCTGTCGTCCATGGGGGGCGGCGGGCCCCGATTGTTCCTTCCCCGCCCGCGGTCGTTGTTTCTCTTGGAGGGCATTGGAGGGAGCATTTCGTCGTCGCTGCTGTCCTCGTCGTCGTCGTCGTCATCGCTGTAGTTGCCGCTCTTCTTCTTGCCGAGGTTCATCTTGCCCCCCATCAGCGCCGCCAGGTCGTCGCTGTCGCTATCGCTGTCCTTTTGCTGTTGTTGCTTCTGGGCGGCCGCCTTTTTGGCCTGTTGCTTGGCCAATTTCTGCTGCTTCCGGGAGAGCTTGGGGGCCGCCGGCTCCTCGGTGGCGTTCGGCGTTCCGCCGACCGGGATTTCTTCCTGGTCGGACCAGTCGTCGTCTCCCCGGTTCTTCTTTCCTCTTCCTCCTTTTTTGCGGCCCATGGTCGATCAGCGGTGACAATAAGTTCACAACAAAAGAAAAGCAGTGGCAACAAAGGCAATTGCGTTGCTGGGGAGCTCTTGGTTCGTGGAGCTTCCTTGCCGGAGGAGTTGTGGACGAACTCCTGGAACGAATCGGTAGTACGAGTGCGGTGTGTGGGGCCGTTTCGTGGAATTTTCGGTTGAACTTGCTTTCGAGAGAAACAAAACCCGCCACTACTAGCATTTTTTGTTGCAAGAGTTTCATCCTTTTCTTCCTCTGACCATCAAACGTAAGGCAACAAACGAGAGCTACCGTACCGTACGAACCGTACGACTGTCGCGGCATAGCAACTCCACGGCATGGGTTGGTAGGTTGACGGCAAGACGGAAGAAAAGGTTCGAGAATATGCTCTCCACCATGATCTCTCACTACAGAAGTGTAGAAGTACCGTAGAACGTAGAAGTATGTACGTAGTACGAGTACTTCTCGTATCGCAGCACAGCAGTGTACCATTAGTATTAGTACAATCGTTCGTTACGTTGGTACCACTACAATTAACGAATAACGAATAACGAATACCGATACCTGCTCTTTGCTCTCACTGCTTACTGGTACTATGGACGTATGGTACGTACCCAAGTACGGTACAGGACTCATTGACATGCGTTCTGGATAGTTGCTTCTGAGAGAGCAGAATCGACACCACAATGGACTCCCTTGGTACCAGGAGTACTCGCACTGCCCATACGTTACTATGGTATATTTGGACTCTTTCCCTCTCCACCTTCTTTGGGTTTCAATGATAGCAAGAAGTCCTCTTGTTCTAGAGAGATAGTTCCAGCTGGTCCCAGAAATACCAGCTGGTAGGAAGTAATATCTAAGGCGCGGAACAGAACTGCCTCAAAGAGAGCATACGGCATACTGCTAGTAGAACTAGAAGCTCCTAGTGTCGTTGAATCCAACAATGACAAGCATGCGCCCCCGCACTCAACAACAAGAAAAAGGACTGCTGTTAACGACGTCTATTGGTTGCAATACTACATACATAGCTGGTTCTCATGTTCCACTAGGCTAGGATTCGGGTGTGGAAAGCGTTGGCTCGATCGTGCACGAGTCGGTCCAGGGCTTGATGGCCCGATCAGTACGAGTAGGGGTTTCCGGGGTTGTTCCCCTCCGGCGGCGGCTGGTCCGCCTTGTTGTTGCTGTTGTTCTTCCTCCGCTCCTCCCGGACCCTGGCCATTCGCTCCTTGTAGGATATCCCCGAATAGGACCGGTCCCGGCCGGCCGAAGCAGCCGCCTCCGCCGCGGCCCGCTCCTCCTCGCTCTCGAACTCCCGAAAAAGCAGCATCTCCTCCGGAACCGTCTCGACGACGTCCATCATCCGCTTGCGCTGGTCCTCCAGGTAGGGGTTGACCGGGGCCTCGATCTCCGCGATGGACGGGTCGTGAAAGACCTCGTTGGCCGTGGCTTCGTCGCCGCGGTACCGGGCCAGGTTGCGGGTGGTCGAGTCCCTCTTGAGCCGGGCGAGGTAGACGTCCCCGGCGTTGCTCACGGCCTCGGCGTCCTTGTTGCGACCTATCTTGCGACCGTCAAAGCCGATCCCGGGCTCCAGGTAGTTGTTGGCGGTGGAACCGATCGACTTGCCCCGGCCCTTGGTCGCAGCCTGCTTTTGCTGCTGGACGTAGAAGAATTCCCGGTACAGCCGGGCCTGCTCGTCGATCGAGAGGCTCGCGATTTCCTCCGGCGTCATGATGCTCGAGGGGGGCGTGGCGCCACCGCCTTGCTGTTGTTGTTGCTGCTGCTGCGCATACGCGTTCGGGTCGTAGGCGGAGAGGAGCGGGTTGTGGGTTGCCCGCGGAGCGGTCCGCTGCTGTTCCTCTGCTCTCTCCACGAGCGTCCGGAACCGCGACCCGCCCTGGGAGGCTTCCTCTTTCTCGTCCAGGTGAAAGGCCTTGACCTTGTCTACCAGTCCGGGGGCCAACTGGATCGAACCCTCCGTCTCGCCGGCGGGCGTCGCCGGCGCCGGGGGGCTGGGGCCTCCGATGGCATCGCTCGTGGGGGCGTCCTTGTTGTAGGAATACTCGTAGATCTCCGCGGCAGCCTCCGTCATGGCGGACAGATTGCTGCTGCTGCTGCTGGTTGCCCACGATTGCTGTTGCTGTTGCTGTTGCTGCTGCTGTTGTTGTTGCTGCTGCCGCTGTGGAACCCACCCCTGCTGTGCGTTTCCATCGTTCACCGCCGGCCGGCCGTACCTCGATTGGCGAAAGTACTCGTCGTTGGCTTGCTCGATGGCCTCGCTGGGTTCGCCGGCGTTGTTGCCACCGCCACCCAGGGAATCCAGGAAATTGTCGTTGTCCCATCCACCGTCGTAGCTGCTCATACAAAGGCTGGTGGTGGAACATGTGCGAGGGGCCGTTCCGAGGAGCGAAGCACAAACCCCATCCCTTGTGGTGGGGGTGGCTGCTGCTCCCCCCGAAGGGTGGTTCCCTCCCAGAAGCAGGGCCTTCGTCGGTAGGAGGGAGATCAGCATACCTACCGTGATAATAGACCGTGAAGAGGATCCCGCTGTGTTTGTCATGCTTCTGGTGTTGGAGTCAACTAAGCTTGATCAAATGATTCGCTAGTGGCTGGCTTTTGCAACACTAAGATACTGTTTCTATTGCAACCCTAAGATACTGTTTCTATTCGTACGAAGTACTTTTGTTCCGGTTCAACGTCGGCAGTTAGTACCGATACTGTCCCCTTCCACGTTTGCTAAGGATGTGGCTTGTGAATCTCGATTATCATACAATTCAATGGCGTTGCCTACCGTTGCTACGGTCGCTCTCGCTCTTCCCTATTTCGGTTTGATTCGAATTCCGACAAAGATATGCGAATTGTTGAACAGGACAGATTCATTTGTCTCTTATCGATTATCGATCGATCTCTCTAGAAACGTACGTACCGTGCCGTACCTCAGTCCAAAAGAGTTGAATTTTTTTTTTTCTGTACTGTATGATTTTGTAGTTGGTACCGTACCGGCCGGTAGGGTCGTACTTTGTCGCACGTTTGTTTTGTGTTCCGTGCCTTCTTTGTTCACTGACATCGTTGCCGTGCGTTGCGTTAGGTCTAATCCTAATTCCTACCGTACCGTATATATGTACATATCAAATCAATGTACATTACTATGATACGAAACCTAAAACTTGGTCAGCGGTCAGCGATCGGGGACAGAAAAGTTCTTACGTACTGTACGATACTAGAATGCAGGGGTCATCTATGTACTCGTAACGGTACCTGGTACGCACCTACCGGCCGGTGTGTAGGATTTTAGATTTTGTTTTCGTCCCATCCAAACGAGGTCCCAGCAAACGAACGCAATAATTATGGGTACTACCTGGACCATGCCATTTTTGTCTCAGTTCTGTGAAATCGGGCCATCATCCACTGCCTATTTGCTGGAAGCAGGGGGGAAGACTTTTGCTGCAACATTGTCAAGCTCTAGGAACAGCATCTCGGCCTGGCAGGTAGGATGGAATTGATCTTTGAGCTCCCCAGGAAAATCACTCGATCAGCAGGACATATGATCCAACCGCATGGGTGTTGAGACAGGGGCAACGGGACAGGTGCTCGAATATGGTCCGCCATGTTTTCAAATACAAGGCCTTGCAAATGAAAAGAAAATACACAACAGACGAAGCAATCGATGAATCTATGGATGAACAGATACTAGTTTTTCCTTTTTATTTACTGATGCTAGTGGATTCGCATCTGGAATCCAGCCAAAGCTTCAAAAATCAGTATTTCAAAAATTCCTTGGGAAGAACTATAAGATATTCTAGCGCAAATCTATCTCATTTGGTCCCTTTTTACGTCAGTCTATTCTTGGTTTTGATGCGGTGTTTTGCGTCGATCTAGTGATGGCCCTCCAGCTCCCCCTCCATCATAGCCACCACGGATTGATAGGTCCCCATGCAGCCAAAGGAAAAGCCTCCGACCAGCAGAAATGTATCCAAACCTCTCTGCCAGACCGGCAGTTCCTTTCCGAACGTGTGCAAGTGAAAGTAGGATGGAAAGACGAACCCCAGGAGGGTGCAGATGGAGGACCCCACCAGGCTTAGGAATTTTCCAAAGTTCGGAACCGAATAGGCTACGAGCGCTGATACCAGCACAATAGCGGATCGGACAGAAATGCGGGACAGCTGTGTGGTGTTCGCATCTTCGATAATGGCCCATATGGGAAACATCATGATGGGATAGGTCAGGTACAGCCCCAGGCACAGAGAACACTTGACAAAGGTTGCCGACCAGTGGTTGGCCAGGTTGAGGGTGATAGGAGCTAGTGTTGCATCCCCAAAGGCCCAGTAACCCGCACTGCCAAAGATGGCCATGAACGTCGTGATCGCTGCCAGCGTTGCAATAAGCAAGTAAGAAAACTGTTGGGGCTGCTTGCAGCTCGCTTTAAGCGACAGAATCAAACCGACGCCTTCCATGCTGTAAATGGTAACGGCCATGACATAGATGACACCMCCAAAGTCGGCCTTGTGAATCGCATCATTATGGGGCGTGTAGTGCTCATAGTCCTGAAACAAGACCGCGCTGAGGGCGCAGAAGTTGGCCGTGTTGGCCAGGAGCGAGAAGGGTGACAACGACGCCAGCTCTCGAAATTGGACCAATCCCAAGAGCCCTGGAACACATGTTGCGCAAATAAGTCCTCTTGACCATCCATATATGCTGTTGAGGTTGGCGGCAATGAAGATAATGTAGGCCGTGGCAAAACCCGCCTGCGATATTCCTAGGCAAAGAAAAATGACCTTCTCGCCCTTCTCTCCAAGAATCAGTCGGCCCACATCACCGTAAGATTGCACAATTTCGTTTGGATACTTCGCCTGGACGACCCTTTGCACCCTCGGTAGGCAGAGCATGGCGTACACATTCAGAGTGGAGACCAATACAAGAGTGATAGAGCCCAAAAGCCAACCGGATTTGGAAAAGGCGTTTGGCACTCCTAACAAACCGGCTCCAACAAAGGATATAATTATGTTGATTATGACTTGTGGTGTCCCTGCCGATCCTGGAGGACCTGCACCGTGGCTGTGGTCGGCCAATTCTTTTCCGTTGGTGTTAGAGCTCGTTCTACTGGTCCCGTTGCCATCGTTGTTTCCCAAGAGGGGGGATACGCCATCGTCGTCGTAGCCATCGATGTCCGATATTGCGCTTGATTCTTCTATTTCCAACGGAGAAAAGACGGATTCTTCTATGGTATCAGTTGTGGTGACATCGATGGCCGAAGACGAGGACTGTCGATGGGTGATGCCTTCCATGATACAAAGTTAGTAACGTAGTACAAGTAATATCCGAAAGATAATTGGGTTTACTTCTGGATTCGAACGACCTTCCCTCAATCAACAATAGAATAAGAGTTGCGCTCAATTTCAGACAATGTGCTCTTCTTTGTGCCTCCACGGTTATTTGGAAAAGTCTTCGGTCGTAGATGATTGCAATGGCAATGATGATGATTTTTTTTTGTATTCAAACAACGCTTGTCTTTGTTTCGTTCCCAGGCACTACTAGTACAATGGTACTGGGTGCCGGTACATACTTCGTACATTTGGCACTACAACTATCGTACTTCTAATTCAAAAATACAGTAATGGTTCTCGCAAAGGTCATTTTCATATTTTTGGATTGGAAAAAGCTGTTCGAGGCATACGAGTTTTCGTACAGGTACGTACTGTACTACTGATTGGGAGAGAAAAGAGCGACCTTGCTTGGGGAGAGTATCGTTCGTACTTCGATTGCTTATGTTCTTCGCGCATCTTGGCTTGGTGCATGGTGCACGGTGCACGGTCCGTCGTTAAGGCTTATTATCATAGATATCGTATGTATGATACTATCATATCATACTAACCTTTGTTTTGGGATTTATGGAAGCTAAAACGCCGCCATCGTCTCGAAAGAAGCTTCTAACAAGCTTCTCACAAAAAGTAGGCGTGGTACCGATATTGCATTCCAAAATGCACATCGTAGTACTGAAATGTAAAAGCTATCGAATATTCACAACTCGGAACCCATACCATAAATTCTAAAAGACCCCAAAAAAATACAATATAATTGTCCTCTATCTCCGTCCCTCCACAGTCGGCAAGAATATCATGCATTCATCCCTGATCCTGATTATGCTATTAGTTGCCTCCGCGAGACTCCCTTGCGTGTACGGCAACACTATAAGAGCAGCCGACATGGAAACCGCTAAGCGCCTACAAGGCTACCAAAAACGAGGCTACCAGTGGCCTGTCCTAGAGTTCGTTCCAAACACCCCCGGCTGGAAGAAGCTAATGGAAGACCGGCTTGAGCAGATTTCCAACATCGAAGACCCCGCAGAGCGCTTCAAGGGCTACACTGCCACAATGTATTCCGGCATAGTAATTCAAAACTACACCGAGCATGGCTTTGCCCGGACCCGCATCAGCGAATCCCTCCTGAAGGAATTGCAGCAGGGCATTCGTGACGGATTCGAAGACCGCGTCAACGAGGGGTACACGCCAAGCATCACCGGCAACCAGGCCTGGCACATCCAACGGGACGATCTCACCCAAAAAGTTGAGGACGAACTCCACGACAAGCTCGAGGAGTGGGGAAGGGTGGATCTCGATCTGACCTACGTGTATGGCCTGCGCCTGTTTCGCAACACGACCACCATTAAGATGCACTTGGACAAGAAGGGGTCGCATTCCATGGGATACGTGTTGCACGTCGATTCCAGCGACGACTACGACTCGGATGGCGACCCATGGCCATTTCTCATCGAGGATTTCCATGGAAGGACCCACGAAATAACCATGGTCCCAGGCGACCTGATTCTCTTTGAAGGTACGTTTGAACCAAACCCGTCCAAACTGTGGTTTTTGGTAGTGTCCACAACGATAAAACTGCTCGAACCTCACATTGTTCTGTTTGATTTTCATTGTATATGACACAAAAACAAATCGAAACAGCCGCAAAACTAGTTCACGGTCGTCCTCATCAGCTTAACGCAACCTGGTATTGTAACGTTGTCGGTCACTACTATCCTCGGGACGAGACGTGGGCCTCTATGAACCACGTAGCGGAAGCGGAATACGCCGTCCCACCGAAGTGGGCAAACGAGCCTTCTGGTAGCAGCAAAGCCGACGATGCCATGGTGAGAGAAATCCAGTTCCGGGGTGGATTAAGAGAGCCCGGTTGCATGGATGGGTGGTGCCGAAGCACATCTCTCGAGCGGATTCAATGGAAGGGACCCTCCGGACCCTCCACCCACTGGATCGACGCCAACGGAGAATCGCACGAATTCATGGGACGACTAAAGCAAAAAGAAGAACAAAAAGCGGTAGAACTATGAGAATATATGCTCCGTAGAAATGGCATACGAAAAATTATTTGCAAAAATGGAACATCCGTTTTAAGTTCTCTGTAAACAACATTCATATTAAATTTCTTTAATGTATTATATTCTCTTTGTTGATGCCGTCTACTATCTTCTTGAAGTGTGTTTGACATAGTATGGGATTCCGATATATAGGTCATCTCTTCTATCTCCTCGAATGTGTACAAAGCACCGTACGAGTCGATGCACGAGAATCCTATCTCATACACGCCAGGTTGCAGGAAAATGAAGTCATTTGCTTTCAACATTTTAACATTCGTGCAAATTGATTCAGTGTAGTTCTATCGATGATTGTCTATAATATGTTGGTGTCCATAAATCTATGTACTTTTATCGTTTTGCATTGGCCTCATTATGCCGACGCTGATTCATCAGATGCCGCCAACTGCATATTGTTGTTTCGCGCGTCATCTTTTGCTGTTGCTTTCGGTGTCTTGGGAAATACGACCCAGAGTACCAGCTGGGTGACCCCAAGGACAACTCCCAGCCCGTTGGGAACGTAAATGAACGGATCGTTGATCTGGGGGGCCAAGGCGTAGGCCGTCCAAAAGGCAGCGTTGCTCGTATTCATGACCATGGTTGGCCCGTGCAAGGAGTCCGATTGCTTTGTTCGCAGGACCGCAAGGATAGACGAAAGCGGAGCGCCGTAAAAAAAGACAAGGTTGAAATTTACGACGTAGCCCACGACAGTTTGTGCAAAGGAATCGGCACCGCTGTCTGTATCGGTATCGCTTGGCGTGTGATAGTGAGCATGAAACCCGACTACGGTCACTACTACTGTCCACAGAATCAATATGCCCATTATCAATCGCTCGTGAGGAGTCTTCGCGGGCGTGGTTTGGGAAGTAACGTCCCAAATAATCTTCGCCCAATCCTCTGCCGTCGAGGTTGTTGCTGCTGCATTCGTTTCCGGATCCTCGTCGTGTTCCTGGTCGCAACCATTACTCTGGTTGCTTGTATCCCAGTTGGTGTACTTATCTTTGTTGTTTTCGTCGTCGTCGATATGGACCAATGATTGTGGTTGCTGTTCCACTTCGCCATCCTCTTCCGTACTCTCCAGCTGCCCATTCACCAAGAACTTTCTGTCGGATAGGTATTGGACCATGGACCGCCTGGTTTCCTCCTGGTGATGCGATGAATACAGCAATTTGACGGCCCCCAGATTCAGCCAGCAGGCAATCAAAAACCCAGGATAGTTGGCCCAGAAGACGCTACCGTTCGTTTTCGTCGTTTGGTGTTGGACACAGACAAGATCGTACAGGGTGGAATGGAATTCGGAACACGAGACAAGATAGAGGGGAAATTTTGGGTGAAATATGAATCAGGAGGAAGAAACACAGTATTCCAACGCACCCCAGATGCCTGGTGATTTGCGACTGCATAGGAGCGAAACTTACAACCAATTGTTGATAATGATGCCGTACGCGGTCCATCCCAGACAATTTCCAACCATGAACGCCCAGGGGGTTGGGTTGAGATCGCCCAGTCCAAGACCCAACGAAACGGCCTTTTGAAGGTCACGCAACGGAGCCAGGAACATGAGGTTCGCTAGTACGACCCCCATTGCGGGGCAGACATATTCGAGAACGATTTCAGAAGGAGATGGCATGGTGCGTGATGCGGATGTGCGCGTGCGCGTGCTGACCCACTGAATTGGGCCGCACTGCAACAAAGTCTCCGACCGGAAAACTTGATGCCTCTTGAGGCCACGAAGGGGAAATTCGCTGCAATATATCGATATCTTTGTCGTGCTAACTGTATTGCTTCTGGATGGTACGGTATTCTTCGACGAAACCAATTGCCGTGCAAACGAATTAAGGCACTTCCGCGGCGATGTAACCTCTTAATTGTAGTTCTTTCGTTCTAGCTCACGAAAGAAATTGCTTTTAATGCATGATGTGATGTGATGATGTGTGGTGGGACGAGTTTTGGTGCTCTTGTTCGTAACAAACCTACCAGGTCAAACTAGGGAAAGGCATTCTACTTTTAAAACGGCCTACTACTACTACTACTACTACTACTACTACTACTACTATTACTACTATACTCCTTAGTAGTGCTGGCACCTGCAAGATATCAAAGCTCCTTGCCAGCAGCAGCAAGATATTGACACTCCTTTCCAGCAAGATATCAAGTGTTTCAATTGTCGTAAAGGCAACAAGAACGCTTGTTTGTTCCAGCAAGAGGAACTGTTACGGAAGAGATATGATCCCTGAGAAAGACCCATTTGAGTTCAGTGCCAAGGTTACCAGGTCAATTGAAGAGTACACATCCAAGGGGAAAGATGTTACTGACAATGAGGAAGATGGCTGCCAAGTCCCTACCAGTCTCTGCAATCAAGTTATTTTGCAAGTGGGAGCAACAAAAGAAGATTCCTGCAAAGAAGCAAGATTTCTTGATCTTTGGCTGGAAGTGAAGGATATGGCTTTCCCTCCAGAATTTGCTTGGAGTGACAAGGATGAGAATGAACTGGAAAGACTGAACAAGGAAGACAAGATTACAATTAGGGACACTGCAGTAGGAAGGAAGAGAGCTAGACAGCAAAAAGTTACCCTATCATGCCTTGCAGGGATGATTGAAGAGGAGAGAGTTGCAAACAATATGCCAGTTAATATGCTGGAAGGAGTGAAGGGAATGGTTGTTGGTGAAGTTGCTGAGGAAGTGTAGTACTACTAGTAGTACTCCTAGTAGGCAGAGTAGCTGAGGAGGAACAAGAAGTGTAACAGTTTCCAGTAGTTAGTGCCTTAGGGACCAGTAGTCAGCGCCTTAGTGAGCGCCAGTAAATCAATTCTTTTGAATGGATTTATATTTGGTAGTGTTTGTATTGATATTCAATTCAGCAGATCTGAATTCTCATCAAAAAGTGAGTGAAAAAGTGTGCTAAAAACAGCTTGGAAATTAGCTCGGAAAGGCTCTGAAATTAGTCCTTCGACTGAAATAGTTTTTTAGATTTTGAGACAGGTGGAAGTTGCAAACCCAAATGAGGTGTATTGGGTCATTCCCGATACGGCTCGCATTATGACCCAAAATACATCGAAGTTGGTTGTCGTGGGCCCACAACAACCAACTTTAATGTAATTTACATATTTTTTAATTGGAATCCTTGACTTAGCCATTTCCAGTCTCCGGAGCAGGCGCGCCCTAAACTGGCGGCAAACTTCTTTTGATTCAAGTGTCAAGAAAAAAGCACATGATCTTTGCAAAGGAGAGAAGGAACAGAGAGAAACAATGCTGAGGATGGTTGGTGCGTGGAGCCCTCTACTTAATTGCAACACTACTAGCATCCAGATTCTTCTGTTGTGGAGGATGCAAGAAGCAGCGCTTGGTGCTAAGAGGAGGGAAGAGAGCCGGCGCTCTCGCCTTGAGAGGGAAGAAGACATCAAAATCCCATGTGTGATCCGCATACCGGTAGCTCATAAAAAGAACATGGCTCCACCAGCTCCAGCAGCAGCAGCAGCAGCAACAGCTGCAAGGTCCTCAACAGCTGCAAGGTCGACAGCAACGGCAGCTGCAAGAAGGTCGACAGGAGGTCCAAGAAGGTCGATTGCTCAAGAAAGAGGAGGAAGATCCAAAGGTTCCATCAACTACACCCATAGAGAGACCATGGACACGCTGACACTCATGAGGAGGATCCTTCCTATTGGACCAGAACAATGGAGAGTTGTTGTTGACACCCATGAAGAGAACTGGGGGAATGGAAGAGACAAGGAATCCATCATCAGGAAGTACTCCTCCCTCCACAGGAAACAAATTCCTACTGGGAATCCGTACATGTCTCCAGCAATCAGGCTTGCAAAGGAGATCAAGGACTTGATTGGTGCCAAGGCAGCCATTGGAGATGGGGAACAGAAGTTTGATCTGGAAGAACAAGGATACACAATTAGTGAGGATTACACCACTTTAGTGCAAGGTAACAACGCTGACAACAAAGACAAGAATGAGACCCCAAGTCCTCCTCGCTGGCAACTTACACAGCCTTCGCAACTTACCCAAGAAACTGAGCTTCTCACTCCTCGGCTTGAGACACCGACTCAGCTTGAGGAGACACCAACCCAGCTTGCTGCAACTCAGATGGTGCAGCTTGCTCAAGGAACTCAGCAATACCAGTCCGAATTGACTCAGCAATACCAGTCCCAATACCAGTCCCAATCGACTCAGCAAATGTTGATTGTTTCTGTTCCTTGCCCTCCCCTCAAGAGAGCATACTCAAAAGCCTCCAGAAGCTCCAGTATCAACAGCATCAACACGGATATCACATCCATGTTCCAGATGTCCATGAAGCACCAAGAAACACTTGCTCAAGCATCGATGCAACAGTATAAAGCTTACCAAGAAGCATCGATTCAACAGTATCAGCATACTTTGACAGAAATCAAAGATATGGTTTGTGTTGTTGCCAGCGCATTTGTCCAGGAGAGAAAGAAGAGGAAGAAAAAGAAGAGGAAGAAAAAGAAGAGACAGCATGAGGACGAGACGACGACGATTTGGTGTAATCCCATGGTTAAATACTAATTAAGATTACTAAATTAAACTACTGTTTGCTGATTGCTGTTTGCTCCACDACTCCTTGCTGATTGCTGTTTGCTCCACTTGCTGCAACTGATTTATGAGTACTGAATACTAATACTGCTTCTAAATCCAGTATACACAATACTACGTGTAAAAGGAATCCAGTATATGCGATACTTTGTGTAAAAAGGTTCACATGAAAACTTGCAATGAGTTAGCTCTATGTAAACGAAAGCAATCGTGTGGGATTCCTTCCATGTGCAACGTGTTCGCTCTTAGTTACCGGTCCCGGTTTTTTGTGGGAAGGCACCCATGAAAACTGGCAACACAAAATAACACAGCACTACAGTGGGAAAGGAACTCAAATAACACGGTGTATCGTGTAGGTAGCTTTTGGTTTGCTCCTTTTTGCTCACTCCTCACTCTTCATAATCTAACTGGAGGAGTAACTGGAGTAACTGTAGAAATAGTAATTAATAATTCATTACATTTAGATAACTGAAACAACCATGGTGCAATCGACAATCCGTAATCAACAATTGACAATCTGTAACGCAATTGACAATCGACAATCGACAATCTGCAACGCAATCGACAATCCGTGCTCACGACAACAAGCCAGGGAATGAGCTATTGGTGTCCCCATTGGGCTGAAGTTGGTAAGCAAAGTATCCTATTTGTCTCCTCCCATAGGATTCTCTCAGCTTTTCAAAGGATTCAAAGCCACTCGTATCGCTCATGAAGGTGTTGAGGATCTGATTAATGCCCACCTTGCTGCACTGATAATTATACAAGAACAACACGAGGTTAACGATAACCTTCCTATCACTAAGTTCCTCCAGTTTCATTCTTTCTTTCAWTMTKGGGAATTGCCCCTGGATCATTCACATACCCCATTCTGACAACTGTCGAACTGCTGTGGCTTCTTGGTTAAGTACAATAGCGTGATTGTTCTCTGCCATTGTGGGGAATTTATCTGGATCATTTTGTTGGCTTCTAATGAGATACTTTGCCCCTCTGACCTTAAAGGCGGAGTCTACAACAACTGACCCCCCATTCCTTCTATATATGGCCTCCAGCTTCTCGTATATGCCATAATCTGCCATGGTGGTGCTGTCATGAAAAGTCCCAGGACAGTTATATGTTGCCATCCGGATTTTTCCATCGGGGGCGTAGATGAGGCAACTATTAATGTAAGTATCCATGCCCCACCCATTATAGTACATGGCCTGAATATGCCAATTGGTAGAGTGCTCGAGCTTAATTTTGAGACCATCTGCTGCACCCCGACCCTCCTTGTACCAAGTGTTGGGTACTTCCTTGCTATTGCTGACACATATGCCTCTACTTCTTCATTGATTGGGGGCCTAATAATTGAATTTGGGTGTTTTTGCAATGCAAAAAGAAGGACTCGTCTAGAAAATCGCAACCATCTGTACAGGGGAGTGGAGGTAAGTCAAAATACCATAGACAAGGCCCTAGCTGCTGATCCACGAGTCCTGTACCAAGTCAACACCAACACTAGCCCAACAGTTGGGGTTATCAGTCTTGGTTTGCCCTTGGGTTTGCCTTCCTTGGTAAAGAGCCGAGGTCTAATTTGCTCAGTGTTTTTGTCGACTGTATATCCATGAAAAACTGGTTGAAAGAGGCTGAGGAGATCCCTGAAGACAGGATGGTCCACACCACAGCAATTTAGCAGAGCCTGGTCATCACCAGAACCAAACAAATGGATCAATGGAGAGGCATTCACTTTCATGAGTGCAATCCTTGGCATCCTCCTGTATTGTTGGCACTTGTCGTGAAGGGACAGCCGATGGCACGTTTCCTCCTCCTCCTCCTCCTGCTGCTGGAGAGCCCATGCAATTAAAACTAACTCAAAGGACATTTTTACTGTGAAGGAGGAATCGCCAAATAGTGAGGATGGAGACTGTTTTTGTTGTTGTTTCGGAGGAGGATTCTGTTCCGGAGGAGGAGGAGGAGGATTCGTTGATTTTGGAGAAGGATTCTGTTTCCAAAGTTTCGAAGACAGAGCTGGTTTTGTGAAAATCCCAAATTGTTCCCGCCACTGGAATCTTGTCAAATTAGCATGCAATTTATAGGATTCCAAATTCCAAAAATGGGGGGAAATATGTAAGTTGAGCCGGCCAGCTGTGCCTTCTGTACCACTGAATGTGATTCCCGAAAACATACCTCGATATATGTTATCGGGAATGACCTATTGTTCTTTCCGTAGAGCCGTTTACAATTTGTACAGACTCGGGACCTGTCTCCACCTCATTAGGCCTCGTACCTCGTACCGTACCGTATGTCCCCAGTCCCGTCTTCAGGTTGATAATAATATTTTTCTCTTTCTTTTCTTACTATCGTTCGAAATTCGACAATTGCCTTATGTATTCATCTAGTCGTCCTGACTCATAAATGTATGATTACTATTGTAGTCAACTTCAATACCTGATAAATGATAAAAACCATTGGAACAACATAGAATGAACCAACAGGCATAATTGGAAGATGCTTCAATGCATGATCAATGAAAATACTTCTTTTCGGCCATTTGTGGATATACTCTGCTTAGGCCCACCGAATGAGAATTATACTTTTGTACTTTAGTACGTTGCATATTTAGTTTATTCAGTTTCTTAATTCTGACTAAATGTAACAGCGAGGGTTCAAACAAATAAGGATCTAGGAATTTTTCTCTGGATTCTAACGATTAAGGTTACTTTCATAGCGTTGACTCTTGAAAATGACATTTTCGTTTTTGTAACATTCAAAACAATAGTGCCATCTCTAGTAGAAAATATACAGAACTAAATTTTGAATTAAATAATGGTATGGTGGCGCAAACCAAATTCTCCAGAGTCAATTGAAACCATATTGAACATGGGGAGCCATCGCTCTGTAGAGCTCAGGATGGAGAACCAATAGACTACGAGTACGACCGACTGTAGCCCGCGAATCGATAAATAATAGCAACTAAGATACATAAAGTTCTTCTTAGTCATAAAATGATACTCACGGGATATATTTGTCAATAGCCTCTGGGCAACTCTGTATTAAATGACCAATATTTTGAAAGTATCTATGGTTTTATGGTTTTAGTAATGCGATCAAGCAAATCGTGCAAAACTGTTCTCGTGAATCCGTCAACTACTTCAGAAATATCAAAACCGACCGTTCCATACGGTACGAACGCAAAAAATACGCAATTATTTCACAAATTGACTTGGTGTCGAAGTTTACATGTTCGAATATTTTTTTCATAGAAAGCATCGCCAGAAGATGACCATGATGAAATCACTCACCGCTCTTTTCGTCCTCGTCCGATTCATCGACCACTCGATCTATGCTGATACGAGTAGTCACCTTCTGCCAGATTATAGCATCGACGGCGACGACCCTCATGCTTTATCAGAAAGAATGAGTGGCGCATGGGTCAATGGTCGCATTATGGTAAATGAAACCGAGTCGAATGCGGGGTCTGAAGCACAATCTAATCTACCAGAGGTTGAATGGTCGTCGACGAGTTGGATCAGACGACAACTGCACCCGCTTTCACAACCGAACGAGAGGCTTTATTTTAATGAAAATGAGAGCAGCTGTATTAACGATGAATCGTTTCGGTTGAATGGCAATAAGAATCACAACTGTGATTGGGTCGCAAAGAGGAACAGATATGTTAGATGCGGCCTGATACATACAGGAAGCCGGAAGAAGGTGCTACATTTCTGCCCTCTTGTCTGCAAAAAGAAATGCCAGAGCTTTCGCAGTGCTGCTCCATCAATAGCTAGCGATGTACGAGAACCTTCCGCGAGAGCGAGTTGTGACATGGACAATCCCGAATTTAAATTGAATAGGAATCGGAACCGAAATTGTGCTTGGGTCGCCAAAAATCCGATAGACAGGTGCCGTAAACGAAACGGTGTAAAGAGGAACTGTCCTTCTGCGTGCGATCTCCGATGCTCGTGCATCGACTCGAGGAAGGTAAAGATTCGTGGCAAAAGTAAGTTTTGTAAAAAGATCAGACGGCGCGACTGCACAAGAAAGGCAGGTAACGGAAAGCTTGTTTTAGATTTTTGCCCCAATAGGTGCAGGGCATGCTATGACATTCCTGTTCCCACGGTATTTCCATCTGACATGCCTTCCATGAGGCCTTCCACGAGGTCTTCCACGAGGCCTTCCACGGTGCCTTCCACGGTGCCTTTCACGGTGCCTTCCACGGTGCCTTCCACGGTGCCTTCCACGGTGCCTTCCACGATACCTTCGATGAAACCAACACATCTGCTATCAACATCTCAGCCTAGCTCTCTACCAAGCTCTCTACCAAACTCACAGCCGAGTGCAAGTCCTAGCACAGAGCCAACTGCCCAACAATCTTCTCAGCCGAGCTCACTGCCCACTTTTCAACCCAGCGATACCCCAAGTGTACGGCCAAGTATAAGCGAAAAGCCATCATTTACAGGCCAGACTTTCGCACCCACCAACGTTCCATCCAAGGTTCCATCTGATGAGCCATCAGAAAAGCCAAGTGATGAACCATCTTCATCACCTTCAGCTTCGCCCACCGACGTGCCTTCCACAACTTCGGTTACGAATAGTGCTTTCAATCCTGGTACAACAGCGGCTCAAGTTGAGGATGCTTACACAAAAGTTGTTACCTCAATGGTCATTGGTTCACTAACACGAAAACTCGAACAAGACAGTTCACCGAGTGAAAATTTGGATGGTGTCGATATTGACGTAAAATGCGAAGATCAATCATGTTCCTTCGAATCACAAGAAGACATTTCTGGGAAAGTATGTTTTGAATGCTCATGTACCATCACTGCATCGCCAGCAACCCAGATAAATACAGCTGATTCATCGAGTAGCGTTGAAACTGACATTGCAAGTGGTGGTTTTTCTGCCAAGCTTGAAGACGAGGGTTTAGACGGCGCAGTTGTTGCTCTACCACCAAGTAATGAACCAAGTTCACAGCCAAGTGGCAGCCCAAGTATCTCTGTAAAGCCTAGTTTGAAACCAAGCCACATGCCCAGTATTGTTCCAAGCTCTCTACCTTCTGCTGAGCCTTCTTCCGAGCCAAGTGTGTCCTCTAGTAGTATTCCATCAGATGTGCCTTCTGTAGGTCCTTCGAAAATATCTAGCACCATGCCTTCGCGAGAACATTCAATTGGTCCAAGTTCAATGGCCAGCTCGATGCCTTCTTCTCGAACTAGCAATGCCCCTAGTGGTGTTGTTTCATCAGCGATGCCATCTGGAATTCCTTCCATGGCATTGAGCTCTGCGCCTTCGCGAGAACCTTCCGGACGACCAATTTCAATTCCGAGCTCGATGCCTTCTGCTGAGCCCAGTACTGTATATAGCAACGGTCCTAGCAAACTTCCGAGTGGTATCCCATCCCAGAATCCTTCTACCAGTGCTGTGCCAAGCTCAAAACCTTCTGTTGACATCAGTAATGTTCCCAGCGAAAATCCGAGTGGGATCCCATCCCACAATCCTTCTGCCAGTACTGTGCCAAGCTTAAAACCTTCTGCCTTGCCTACGTCTGAGTTAAGCTCAATACCGTCGCAGATTCCTTCTGCTAGTACTATGCCAAGCTCAGAACCTTCTGCCTTGATTTCTTCCAAACCAAGTTCAACACCGTCGCAGAATCCTTCTGCCAGTACTGTGCCAAGCTCAGAACCTTCTGCCACGTTTTCTTCCAAACCAAGCTCCAAACCGTCACAGAATCCTTCTGCCAGTTCTGTACCAAGCTCGGCGCCTTCTGCCTGCTCTTCTTACGTTCCAAGCTTGAAGCCCTCTTGGATTCCAAGTAGCAATCCTTCAGCAGTGCCTTCTCTGCATCCTTCTGTCAACCCAAGCTCCGTGCCTTCTGATACCCCTCCTTCTGCTCCCAAAGCCTCGTCGCTCTCTCGAGACCTGGTTCATAGTACTCAGCTCAATGGTCCCCAATGGGGATCACGCCACGGGTGGGCGTGGCCCAGTGCCTCAAACAATGGTTGTAGCCGTTTCGACGGAACTGTTGGTCCTGGATTCTCAGCCTTACCATGTGCCGTCAAAACCAGGTTCGTAGACCGTGTCCTCAGGTTTGATTCGGCCTATATCAAGTTTAAACTCGAGATCGACAAAGGAATGAAAGCAACCATTGATCTTTCTGATCAGGCTTCAGAAATATCTGGTGGCGGGACAAGCATTTCTTTTTATCCAAGTGGTCTTAATGCTGCATGCATCGCGCCTCCCGATGGCAGTTGGAATGATTATCCGGTCCGCCTGGTAAAAAGTGGACGATATTTTCATCATTGGTACGCGGAAAAGGTGAATTGTAATGGTGGTTCGACGGATACACGAATTGAATGGAAGGTGACACCAGATTGGTGAGTTTTCTATTTGTTTGCCAAGTTTGAAATTCGAAGACTTCTTTTCTAATTTTGTTTTTCTATCGCACTACAAAGTGTCGAACTCCACATGGTTAGTAATAATGGCGCAGATACCTTGAATTGGATGGCCAGCGAAACAGGAAATTCACTCTCTACTAGCACCAATGGATACAATGGCATCTCATATTGTGCAAAGTGCAACAGCGAAATCAATGATTCAAGTGATAGTGATAACGATCTTTCAGACTGTCAAATTGTACAAACGGCATTCCCAAGCGACTGCTGCCCTTTGAGTTCAACGACCGGCTCTGGAGATACTCTGTGTGGAACTGGGTGGAGCTACTCAACTTGTGACGTATCTTCAGCTTTGACAACAGCTTTAACTCAAGAAGTTACCATTACCACGTCACCGTCAATTCCCGTCAATGGCAATGGTCATTCGTTTGAAATGCGAATACCAAGAGGGTCGGGAGACCAAATGAGTAACAATTTTCAAAAATTCGACATAGTGAACAACTCCGACAGCTGGAAGAAGGTTAAGCTTAATTTCCACATCGAGAATCCCAGGCGTATAACTGGTGTTTCGGGTATTTTGCGAGATCCCGTTTCAAAAGAACCCACTGGCATTCATGTGCAAATGTCCAAGAATTGGCACGTGGATAGAAATCCTGCACTCTACGACAATTACTGGTGGACCGGTGTGGCACATGTCCGAGTTCCTCCGGGGACAACGTCTCTCCAACTAGTCGTTGCGTACCAATATTACAAGGCATTGCATGGCGTTAGTCACAGTCAACTTTCGCTCTTAGGTTGGGGTACGAATGGACTATGGGAGGAAGTTGGAATAGGTTCGAATGGTGAATCGATAACTTACGAGCCACACGGACATCACCGCCGACAGATGATCCTAGATACTCGCCCCTGGTTGGTATGCGCGATGGGCAGGGCAGGGTGTGTAGGTACTCCCGACAGCACACAGTGGACCGAGAATCATGGCGGCGGGGATTTCTTAAATGCCGTAGATAAAAGGGGAATGTACCAGTATCTTATTGAAGACACCACATTCCATACCATGAATGGCCCGCGATTGACCAACGCTACTTATGCGGGAATCACTGTTGACGAAAATATTGCAGTCTCTCGCACTGTCAGTACATGGACAGCTGATGACTTTGTTCGCCATTTGCACAGTTTCCACTACAGCTTCTTGAAAGAAATTGACGGTGACAACTACCCTAGATTTGCTTTGTATACGCTAGGAGGCGACAATTACAACTACATCCGATTCCCTTTTTTTGCGTATGGCGAGGGTGGAACAAATGCTATTATACGAGACGGTGTCCCGGGAGTTGTTCCCATTGCTGAAGTCATTGCTGGTGTCAACGATTTCAGATACACAAGCTACTACCAAGTCGATGCACCCACAGGTTGTGGCCAGGGCGACAACAACTCCTGCTGGTTTGGAATGATTACTGATCCATCCACTAACATTCACCAACGGGGAAACCGTGGGATTGTTGTTAGAAACTTCCATGGCCGGCTCAATGGGGAGGATTGGCCTCCTACTGATAGAGAAGTTTCGCCATTTGCCTTTCATCTGATTAAGAGTCGACAAAACAACGCTGCGAAGGATACCGTCTCAATCGAGTTGAGCTTGCCATCTGAGTTCAAAACTGCAGTTGCTGCAGGAGAAGCGAAATTCCTCGAGGGTGATTTTCTAGCTGCTGATATAGAGCTATTCTTACCACCAAGACAAACGGCCGACTACTTCGGAAATTCACAGCGTCTCAAGAATTGGCTGACAGAAGCTGACGTTGACTCAGATTTCAAACTTGGATGGAAAGTCATCATGAAGGAAGCTGTTGTGGGCGATAGTATCAAAACAACCGTGTTTAGGGGTATATTGGAGCGGCTCTATCATCCACGAATTCACGTAGATGCGAACGATGAGGCAAGATTCAACATCAATATTCCTGATGACATACCAGGTATCTTACCCATCACCATTGCCGGGGTTGAATCAGCAAAAGCGTTTTCTACGGATCTATTGGCTCGTCCAGATGGAAAGCTGTGGAGATATGTTGACGATTCTTGGAAACAATTTGGACAGGGAGGAGACTATCAGCTTGAAAAGGATGTCATTGATAACAGTTATACGTTTGTGTTTAGCTTGAAACTCGAATTCGAAAGCGACCCCGTCGTTTCGTGTGAACGCTTTGCATTTGGAGCGGTGGCGCCAACTGATCCTAATCCTTCATGCGATACCACCGACTGAGGTCACTATAAAATTTTCATTGATGTTTATGATAATTTCACACCCGCGCTGTGTCGAGTCATGATGTCAGTAGATGGTGGAATTAAAAAACAGACTGATCATGTTCTGTTTGTTGAAAGTCACTTGTTAAAGACCAGATTTATTTCTATTGTTAAATCAAAGGAACTAGAGTCGCTTTGATGATCCTCGTTAGATCATAGTCACTCCATACCCTTGGTACATCTCCCCTGTGGCGGGCGTATTGCATTTCCCGAATTGTATCGAAGCCGTTGATTACTTCTCCAAAACAAGGATCAGCATCACCTTCCAGCTCGTGGTGCCCCTGACTTCCCGGACCATGATGATCCTCGTTATCTATTGAATTTATGTAGAAATTGGGACCGGATCCAGCAAAGCCGATGGTGTGTTGTTTGTGTGGAAATGATGGGGAATATTCAGGAAAACTAACTCCATTGTGGCCAAGGGACTCTAATTCGTGATCCTTTGTTTGGAAGGTGCCGTAGACGACGGGCGCAGCTGCGACAACGTGAGCTTGTGAATGATGATAATAGAAGACAGTGTTGTCCCATACCTTGTTAGATACCATGTCCATGAAGGTTTCTACAGCATGGGGCACTGCAGTCAGAGGAGCCATTCTAACTGTAAATTTTCCAGACTTTCGTCCCTCTCGGCTTTTCACATCGAACACCACGTGGTGCGGACCGTATCCATATTTCTCGATGACTCTCTGACGGCTATTCTCTCGAATGTACGCCTGGAGACTATAAACCTTGTGCAGAAGGGCTTCCTGTCGGTGCTCGATCCATTTTTTGGCAACGTCTCCGGTTCGGCGGTTCTGGAATTTTTCCCGGGCAGCTTCGGGTATTTCGATGTTATCGTTGTCGCTAGCTGCCTCAAGCTCGGCCATTTCTTCAAGCATACGTGTCTCATGTTGAAAGTTCTTCTGGGTCTTTTTCAGCTTCCAATGTTGCTTCGCGAAGGAGTTTTTGGTGTCGGTAGCGTCCTTCCACAATCTCGTGCTCTGCCGTTTTTGGAATTCAATACTCTCCAATTCTGTGTCCATCGAGGACAATATCCCGTAACTGATAGTCCGATATTGGACTGCGCGAAACCACGAAAGCATTATTGTTCCACACATGACAAGGAGCACCCAACGAGGAGTTTTCGCTTGTTGATGGTGATACAAATTTTGGCTATTTGTTCTGCTGCTATTCATGTTGCCACCGAATGTCGACGGAAGAATGGAAGGTGATCGTCTTTCATGTTCGGTGTTATCGGATGTCATGCTGCTGAAAGACGATTGACGAGAGGATACAGAGGAGATACTTCCGTTATCGTCATCCCCCATGGCACACGACATAAATGATCCTCCGTGACTATAGTTGGATTGCTGGTTCCTGAGCATCCCCGGACAAGACGATTGTCGTCGCATTGACATTGCTTGTTGCCGTTGTAACATCACCATTGTATTTTCTTTTCTTGGTACTGTTGGCAGAAAAAGATAGATACGAACCAAAACGAGATACGAAAGTAAGCACGTTAAATTTTAGAGGTCCTCTCGCGTTGTCGAAATGTATGCGGTCGAATGCGTTATTCATCAATCCGAACCCGCGAACAAAAATCAGGTAATTTCAATCGGCGATTTCTCGATCTGAATTCGTGAAGACGCAAGGTAGTTTAATTAATTGGCGATCGCTGTTTCGCCTCGCGTGCCGGATCTGGGCGCGAATAGTACAACGTCTAGTAGTTTTTTTTCAGTCTTGCCGAGCCGTTCGTTTCGGACGTGGAAACATTTTTGACTGGTGTACGACTGCTTTCGTGAGACTGCTTTCGTGAAACAGAATCTCCATGTTTGTATTAGAGCTTTTAATTAGAAGTACGAGTACGTAACGGGTACGTACCGTTACAATTCCCATGCTGGCAAATTTTTGGCAATTCCCCGGCTGTCAATTTTTTTCATTTTCCCATATTTATTCCCCCCCCCCCTCAACAGAAAAAACTATCTTCACCACCAAATACAGGTCATAGTGCAACCAAAATAGGTTCACATTGCCCTGATGTCACCAACAGATATTGCAAATCAAATCAACAAAGAAGTGTCTCAGCATGTTTCTGTCACAACATACAGTGAGCCAGTCAGTCTTTCCAATGGGGAGGATCTCCTTGATGAGAGTCATCAATGAGATGAGCTCATTTTCTGAGTAGTTTGCAGTACCGGCCTTATGGCTGGACCCCTCTACTTTTGATCGACCTGATGCGGCCACTGGAGGAAAGCGTCCCCCATTACATGGAGGAATGGTTGCATAAGGACCAGTAGGGGATGGCATCTCTGCTCGCAGAATGAATATTGTGTGAGGGATCTTCTCCCCTCGCGTTGCTTGATACACAGCCTCCAGCAGTTGCGCCTCCATTTGTTTCAATCTAATGTATAGCGTAGTGAATAAGACAGGGGGCATGGTTATTGCTGTTGTTTGCTCCTTTATGACAAAATACTGGCTCCGGCGCCTTCTAATTTTTTAGTAAATTCTTTGTCTTAAATTTGGCGGGTCTTTTCAGTTGAGTCCTACAACGGATTTTCATTCTTGGATTCCAGTCTAGATTTAGACTTTCTGTAAGGCCGGGAGTGGAGCGTTGACAGAAAGTCTAAAAATTAAGACTGGAGGTCTATTTTTTGTCTGTCTGTCTTTCAAAAAGTAGACTATCTAGACTAACGGGAATGAAACATTGCCAACAAACATGCCAGCGTGGAAATTGTACTTAGTAGTCCTACTAGGTGTTTGTTTGTTGTCATATTGTCAATTACAGCACTTTGTATGAAATATTCTTGATATTGCTCTATAAAGGACAAGAGCTGGCCTTACCAGTAAGGAAGAGCAGGTTAAAACTAAGCAAACTTGACAATATGATCAACAGCTTCATGCTTGGCAATACTACTGCTACATGTGATAGCTGAGTAGTTCCTGTTTTTCTTTGGAATCTTCTTGTTGCAACCATGGAAATTTATAGAAAAATGAGGAAAAATCCGCAATTTCTGTCTGTCGCTTGGATTGATCGATTCAGAATTCCAAGGGGTGTCTTTCATGGCTTTTTGCTTTATTTCACCGTTCTAATATCTTTGCGAACGATTGGGAACTGGAACAGCTATCGCATCGATATCTTTCCTCTCAACAATGTTTCTTGGCTTTGATCAGCTCGATGCATTTTGCCCTCTTCATACCGGCGCTACAACTTACAATAGCTGGCAGCATAAGACTTCCCGATAACACTCGGTCAAGTAGCGCTCGACTTGTGCACAAGAAAAAGGACCGGAGTTGTACCCAATAGCCAAGTTGCAGGCGGTGGGATCAAACGCGCCCGATGGGTACAAGGACGCCMCTGATTGATCGAATTTGACCCGACCATTCGACGATACCCTAACCGAGACGATTGCAGCCGATCTGCAATAACCCGAAAAGCGCCGTGCTTTCTATTCATCCAGTGATCCTCCCGTTTCGTGCTCGGCCACGAGGCCGGCTTCCACTAATGCCCGGCGCGTATAGTGACAGACCGGGTGGGAACTACTTACCCCGTTATCACCAGCAGTGCAACGAGAGGACCATTTCCCGGGCTCTTCCAGGTTTTTCGTCCGTCGGTCGCTGCCGTGCGGCGGGGAATCGGGCGCTCGCGACTCTTTTTGCAGCAAACGGCAGAGTTCTTCGACGTCCCCGGCCTCGTCGATGTCGCGGACGGCTTTGCCCACCACCGTGGGGATCCCCCGGTCCGTCAGCGCCTTGATCTGGGACATGCCCGTCATCGGATGGGACCAGCACACGGACGAAAAGGTTCGGGCCGGATCGGCAGACCCCGGGACACAGAGCATGGCGTACCCCCCGTCCAGCGCGGGGCAGAGCGTCGCGGCAGCGGTCTCCCCCGCGGCCCGCTCCAGTCCTTCCACGATATCGTTCAGGGGCAGGATCGGCGCGTCCATCCCCAGAAATACCACCCCGTTGGGTGGCCGCAGTTGACGGTCCAGGGCCCGCACCCTGACCAGGGCGTCTTCCAGCTTGGTACCCAGGACGTGGGATTTCAGGTCGGAGGGGGAAGAGGCCATCGCGAGCAAGTTCCAGGATTCTTTGCCGCCGCCKGTGGATTCGCAGCCTGGTTCTGCCTCTGTGACGAGGCCGAGTTCCGCCACCAGCGTTTGCATCCGCTTCAGGCCCTCGTCCGTGCCCGGGGCGTACAGCAGAATCTTTCGGACGGAGTCGAGCTCCGCCTGGCAACGATTCCGGCATAAAATTCAAAATATACCAAGACAACGAAACGCGATCGGTCAGTTGTTGAGCTTTTAACGAATCGTTCTACATATCAATCGTGCGAATCGATCAATCAGTGGGATCGAATGCCATCACACCGAAAGAAACAAGAAACTCACGCATCCATCGATGGTTTTGAGAACATCGGATAGCATGGCCTTTGCCATCCGGACCGACCCTTCCTCGCCCATCAGCGGAATCAGCCTTGTCTTGCTCTTTCCCGGAATTGGGCACTTGGCAACGACCACGATCGATCCGCGGACGCTTCCGTGTCCTCTGCCGCGGTTGCTATCGTCGCTCTCGTTGCTGTCGTTCATTGTTGCGTTACGTTGCGTTGAGTCCGTATCCGGTGGCGTTGTTGGTTCTTTGTGTTCAGGTTCCGTTATTACTCTAGACTGATGTTAGAATTTGTGAATTTATTGCGGTGTGTGTTCAGTAGACCCCATGCACTTGCCAAAGCTACGTCAACAGTGTCTCCATTGTTTCTTCCCGGTCTATCCTTCATTCATCTGATAATGGAATTTTGTTTCGGAATGCAGGAGCGAATGATGCGATATCTGATATCTTTCTCACCATACCGTACGTATGTTACCTTGGTACGATTACCTGGTACTCTTACTCTCACTCGTAGAACGGAAACTGGGTTGACGGACGAACGGTTTTCCGTTTCAAATTCAAATTGAGATCATGAGGTGTTCATTCCATCATAAGCGCGCAAAGAGAACTTCGTTCGATTTCAAAAAATAATTTCGAAAGTGAAACTACTGTACCTTACTTCATGGTACATAGTGTGCGAAGATAACCGTTTTTAACGGATATAATTTGGAAAATACGGTGTTCTTTCTAAAGAAAACCTACCTACCATAGTAGTCGCAGTCTTCGAGCAGATTAATCCACTGAAAGGGTTGACAAACAAAATATTTTTGTACCGTACAACAGATACAACAGACTCCTGCTGTACGGTACACAGTACGTACGAGTACCTGGTACTTGTGAAATTGTGAAATACCGTGATAGCAAAGCACCACTATGCAGCGACCAACGGAGGTGAACTGCAAGAACAGAAACACATCGCTCTCCTTAGCATCTATATCACTCCCACTGCTTTGCTATCCTTTACATTCTCCCTCCGTCTCTATCAATCTAACCTTCATCCGTGCCATTGAATAGCGAAGAAAGCATAGACGACAACACAAATTCATACCGGCACCACCCCACCCCAACCCACCCAACACAACACAACACAACACAACACAACACAACACAACACAACAACGAACCAACCCAAACCGCAGCACACCATGCACCAGCGAAAGACCCACACCGACGGTTTGAGTGCCGGTGGTAGCAGTAAGAACGACAGGACCAGCCGGGTCGGACGAAGGCGCCGAAAAGCGGGCACGAAGGGAACGGCGGTGCGAGCAGAAAAGCTGCTCCTCCCCGGGCTGGTGATCCTGCTGTTGCTGGCGGCGCAGTGGATTCGGGTGCTCTTCCAGATCGGGACCGCGCGGCGCAGCGAACGCGCTCCACTCTTTCGGCTCGAGTCGGAGGACGCACCCCGGTGTTCGGAGGCCGCCTGGGACTCCCCCAGGGACATCGACTTTACGCTAGTCACGCAGCTCTCGGACGACCGGCTCTGGATGATGGGGGAACACTGCGATCGCCACGGCCCCCACCCGGTGTCGATCGCCGTGTACTCCAACAAGACCCGAGGGGACGTCGTGGGGGAACTCACCGCCCTGGGCTGTTCCGTCGCCGGGGAATCCCCGAGCGGTCGCGGAAACCCGGCCGTCGTGTCGGTAGCGGTGCTGGACGCCTCCAACCACGGGGCCTGGAACGACTACCCCGTAAACGAGCTGCGAAACCTGGCGTTCTCGGGGGTGACGACCACCCACGTGGTCTACGCCGACGTGGACTTTTGGCCCGGCGACAAGCTCTACGAGAGCCTCGTTGCGGCCCGGGAGGAGCTCTGGCACGACCCCAAGCTCGCTCTGGTTGTCCCCGCCTTTCAGCTCAACCGGGCCAAGGACTGCCAGGACGAGACGGTGGAGTGCCGGGAGGAGCACGCACCTCTGATGCCGCGGAGCCTAGATCAACTCAACGAAGGGATGAACAAAAAAACCATTACCGTCTTTGATCCCTACAACGGCGGCGGCCACGGGTCCACCGATTACCACCGCTGGTTCAAGCAGGGCCACCGGGTACTCTACGAGCTTCCCTGCCTCAAGTCCCATCGGTACGAGCCCTTTCTTGCGATCCGCTACTGCCGGGAGCTCACCCCACCCTTCCAGTCCGCCTTTTCGGGGTATGGGAAAAACAAGATGACCTGGACCATGCAGGTGGTAGCCTCTGGCTTTCGGCTGGCCCAGGTCGCCGGTGCCTTTCTGGTCCACTACCCCCACGCCATTTCCAAATCGCGCCAGCGCTGGAATGAGGCCCCGCCGGAGCTGAAGCAGGCCGGCAAGAACAACAACTACAACGTCCGCAGGCCCCGGAAATCCGATGGAGACCCCGGCTTTGGGGACTACCACCGCGGCAGGGTCGACGACCTGTACCTGCGCTTCAAGGAATGGCTCGCGGAGGCCATCCCCGAGGAAACCGCCCGGATGGAGATGTGCCGAACCGCCCAGGACGACGACAGCAAGCTATGGGTCGATCCCCGCCGGAAAAAGGGGTGGAAGTGATCCGGTTCTGGTGGCACCGGCAGTACACCAACATGGTCGTAGATACGAACCGACGCAGAGTGAGGAACGAGAAATTGTTGTTTGATTCGCCCTTTCCTTTGTTCGTCATCATCCGACTCAATAGACACCAGGCACGCATATGCACGCAAATTCACAACTGAAATAAAATAATTATAGAACATAGACATCACAATTTTGGAAGAAACAACATCCTAGGAATAGATCACAGGGTACCCCCATATCAAGCTGTGAAAATTATTGCATAAGCGGTATTGTTTCAGTATTTTCACTCCAGCCGAGGAAGTATTGGATTCCTCTGTTTTCTTTGCAATGGGTTTTCTGACAAAGGTGGATCCTCTAAAGCTTATAAACATACAGGCGTGGTCATTTCGCCTGGAAATCCGATTCCCGTAGAATCCCCCAAAACGGAAGTTGTTTCGCCTATTCGCTTCGGCTGGCCCGTTCCTTTTCGGTCCCCCAGCCCCGGTCGGTCCCCCACAGAACGGTCTACCCATCATCCCCCGATCGGTGCTGGCGTCGTTTCGGGGAGTGGTGATCGACCCACAGCTTGCCGTCGTCGTCCTGAGCGTCGTCGCAGAGCGGCAGCCGACGGTCGGCGGAGGGAATGGTGTCGGCGAGCCAGTCCTTAAACTCCACAAACAGGTGGTCTACCCTGGACCGCTTGGAATTCCCCCCCGAGCGAGAATTCCTCTCGGAGTTCGATCCACTGCTTTCCCCGGGGGGCTTCTCTTCTTCTCCAGGTTCCTTCTTCTTGCCCGAGTTGTTCCAGTGCTGCCGCGAGGCCGAATCGAGGTGGGGGTAGTGGATCAGGTAGGTCCCCCCCACCTGGCGAAATACGTAGCCCGCCGCCACAAGGTGCATTACCCAGGTGACCTTGTTCTTTCCGTACCCAGCAAAGGCCTTCTGGAAAGGCGGGAGGTCCCTGCAGTACCGGACCACCACGAACGGCTCGTAGCGGTTCGATTGCAGGCAGTCGATCGGCAGGACCGATCCGGGGGCCTGGCGGAACCAGGACGGATAGGAGGTCGATCCGTGCCCACCCACGTTGGTCGGATCGAAGATGGAAACGCTCTTGTACGTCTTGACTTCGTGGGCCAGTCCGTGGAGCGTCCGGGCGGCCTCCATGTGCGGGAGGTTCTCCCCGCGGCAGTCGGCCCACTCTGCGCACTGCCGCCACAGCTGAAAGGCGGGGATCACCAGGGCCTGCCTGGGATCGGCAAGGAGAGCCTGCTGGACCGGGCTGGGGGGTCCGTTCCCTTCGTCGTCGTCCCCCAGCAGCATTTCGTACAGGGAATCGCTCGGCCAAAAGTCCACGTCGAGGTAGAGAATGTGGGTGGTCCGGACCCTGGAGAGGGCCAGGTTTCGGAGCTCGTTGACGGGGTAGTTGTTCCAGGCACCGTGGGTCCGGGCGCTCAGCACGGATACTTCCACCCCCACCTCGTTGTAGGTCGCGTCGTCGCTCTCGGGGTTGGTGATTACCCCGCAGCCCATCGCTTCCAGCTCGTCGACGATTTCACCCTTCGTCGCGTTAGAATAGACGGCGATCGACATTCGGTGCTGCTGCTTCCTCTGGTCCTCCGGCCCCGTAACCCTGTATCGATCGCAGTGGTGCTCCATCATCCACAACCGATCGTGCGATACCTGGGTCACCAGTGTGAGGGTGATCTCGCTGGGGTCCTCGAGGTCGTAGCACTCGGGAGCGGCCTCCGAAATCCTCTGGAAGGCTTCGGCGGGTTTGCGGCCCGGCCATCGGAGGGCGGTTTTCGTGCCCTGGATCGGCCGGGAGCGCAGATTGGAATCGGCCCCGCCATCGAGCAGCTCCCTGCGGACCTCTAGTACCATCCAGGTCCCCACCAGCCCCCAAGCGCCGATCGAGATCCAGAGGCCAAGGAAAAAGAGCCTCGACCACTGTGTCCGGCCCGAGTGGAGGGCCAGGATCCGTTGCTTCCGCGCCCGCTCGCCGGGGCTTCTCGAGAGCGACCCCGAGGAGGAGTGCGCGTGGCGCTGTCTCGCGGAAGAGCTCCCGTTTGTCTCGCTCGCAAAGCTGCCGCTGCTACTGCCCGAGAGCGATAGGCCCGCGGTCCGCGGCCCCGCTTCCGCCTCGAGGGGTTTTCGTTGGTGCATGTCTGCCGGTTCCGTGTCCAAGCGTTGCCAAATCAATCAAGTAGCCCTCTTTTCGAGGCGTTCCGTTGGCATTCTATCTTTCGCTGTGGTTGTGTGTTGAAAAGTGATTCGAAACATGCAATCTGTTCTACTCCTAGTCGTACGATACATACTCATACATTTATTGTTTATTGTCGTTGCAACATTTTTGTTCATGTTGTTCCGTACCAGTACCTGGTGGTACGACATCGTATCTCACACTGGTATGTTTTACGTACCTACTCATACTCGTACTAGGGTTTACAGTACCGTACTGTACGTCGATACGTCGAATGCAGGAAGAGCCTGTAAGACACGACGCGTTGACGACGTCGATTCGTGCTTACTGTATTGTTTCTCGAAAAATTTAGAATTCTATCCGTTGCGTTAGGTATGCCCCCGACATTGCGGTTGCTTCCAGTATCGAATTTGACTCCGGACCGAATTTTCAAAATGGAGTGCATCCGCTTGCTGCTTTCTGTTCCGAGGAATTGCAAGACTTAGATCCGACGCCGATTGCCAACTGCAGAGTTACTCTCTAGTCCCAATAAAAGTGTAAGTCTTCAGTGCAGTGAGCACGATGATTATGGATACTACTTCTACGGTAGGAAGCAGCGTTAATATGGAAAGTAGTAACTAGAGATTTTGTTTGTTCTTCTTGGTGGATGGACCTTGTTGTTCATTTAAAGGACACGATGATGTTGACTCTACTTGTATTTCTATTTCAATCCTTGATTACTAAAGTGCTAGCACCTAGTAACCCCTACCTTGGACTAGACAAAATGTACATACTGGTGCTTCTTTGTTTGATCTCCGCGTTCCGCGTTCCCTTGGATCATTGCAAGAATGAAATTGTTGTGTGATGATCATTCATGTGTCGCTTCGTTTCTAGTACTCATGAATGGCCTTCTGCAAGGAAAAAAAAAGGTCAAAACCAAACCGGCGGAAGGCGGGAGGAGCCAATCGTTGCTCGCTGCTAGTTACTTCTTTGGTGGGTTGGTTGTTTTCCCGCAGACCCCAAAACGGGGCTTGCTTCGACTGCAGCGGGTCCGTCCGCGAAATGTGCTTCCGGAAGATATGTAGCTTTCCGTTCGTCGCTAGCTAGCCCTCCTCGGCCAGGAGCTTTCGGACCACGGCAACGACGCTCCGGTGGCGTTCTTCCATCGCGGCCCTCTCGTCCGGACCGCACGCACCCGATTCCGAGACCACGTGCTCGAGGACCATCCGGTCCAGCTTTTCCCGGAGCGCCAGCAGCAGCACGGCATTGTCGGTGGTGTCCCTCCCGCTCTTGGAGGAGGCCTTTCCTTCCTCCTTCTCGTCGCCGACCTTGAACTTGAGCCACCCGTCCACGACGATGGCGTTCCCTGCGATCTCCAGGTCTCCCCCGAACAAGAGAAGGGCGAAGCGGGAGACAAAGTTCACCTCCGTCAGAAAGACCTCCGGCGGCCTTTCTTTCGCGGTTCCGGACGACGTCCCGATGCTCCGGTGTTTGGAGTGGTACACGGCGTAGGCGTCTCTCCCGGTCTCGGAAGCCTGCCTGACCCGCCTCTGCTGAAAGGAGCTGGACTGCGGCCGGCACTCGTCTCCATCGTTCGTGAGAAGGCGGCCTCCCCCCCTCGGACCGCCCCTCCGCGGGCGCATCAGCGAGCAAACGTTGGGGTACAGCCCGGCCACCAGGCAGCAGCTCGTCAGCAGGGCGTCTTCGCTGGCAGCATTGCTACGATTTTCCTCCTGCTCCTCGCCAGAAGCGCCGCGAGAGGACGATCCGGCCACAAACCCGGCGTCGGCCAGCAGCTCCCGGAACTGCCCCCGGAGCCGATCCATGTCCCTGAGGGTGGCGTGGTCCAGGGCGTGCTGGTAGCAGAAGCTCCGCCTCTTCTGGTCCGACCGGTGCTTTTTCCAGGCCCGGTAGGTGGCAATCACCGCGATCAGGTCCCCCTTCACGGTCCCCCCGGGCCAGTTGGCTCCCCCGAAGCCGTTCTCGACGAGGGATTCCCTCGCCGTCAAAGCAACCGCCAGGGACTTGGCCTGCGGGCCGGTGGCCGGCAGAAAGCACGACCTGGTGCACGAGAGAGCCGCCGCGATGGTGAGGGCTCCGTCCAGGCATCCCAGGATACACCCCACGATCAGCACCTTTCCAACCTTGGCATCCATCGGCAGCCTCGAGAGATGGTACCCCAGGGGCGTCAGCCGGTAGGTCCACTCGTCTTCTCGGCCCCCCGTGGCCTCCCCACTCCCGTCGACGACCCCGAGGGCGTCGACCTCGAGGAGGTGTCTACAGGCCTGCACCAGGCTGTGCCTCGGCGGGGGGGCGGGAGTCATGGACAGGAACCGGATCGGCTGTGCCCCCCTAGCAAACGAGCGCTTCCCGCCGGCCGCGGCTCCGCTGCCGTAAAAGTCGTCCCTCCGCTGCTCGTAGAGCAGACAGATCTGCAGGACCAGCTCGTCGAGGGGGGTCCGGAGCATTTCCGGGGCCGTCTGGGGGAGGAGTTCCTTCTGGCAAAAGTCCTCCCCGCAGAGCCTCCAGCACACCCCGGCGGAGGTTCTCCCGGCCCGGCCGGCCCGCTGCTTCAGGGAAGCCCGGCTGGTCCATACGGTGACGAGTTCCCGGATCCGGGCGGAGGCGTTGTAGCGGCTCTCCTTGACCCGGCAGGTGTCGATGACGTGGCTGACGTCGGGAATGGTGACGGACGTCTCGGCAATGTTGGTGGCCAGAACGATCTTGACGGTTCCCCCACGGGCCGGCCGGAAGACCTTTTCCTGCTCGCCCCTTGGAACGGCCGAGTGGAGCTTGAGGATGGTGCAGACCTCGCGGTCCCCAACGATGGTGCTGTTGTCGTAGAGGCACGAAGCCAGGCTCTCGATTTCTCCCCTGCCCGGCAAAAAAACGAGAATCGCACCGGTTTTGCGGAAGCTATTCCGGCCGCTGTCGGGGGAATCCCGGAGCTCACCGCCGGCCTGCTGCTGGAGGACGATCTTGGCAATCAATGCCCGAACAAATTTGTCGTCGATCTTGTCCCTCGCACGGGGGGACAAAAGGGGACCATCCCCTCCGCTGCCGCCTCTGGTGCTGCTCTTTTGCGTCTTTTCGTCCCGGCTTCCCGATCCGGGGTGCCACATGGTGGTCCCCGCAAAATTCTGGCACTCCGGCAGCCACCTGATGTCTACCGGAAAGGTCCGACCGGGGATCTCGATCACCTCCGGTGGCCTGGTACCCCTCGCTTTGAAAAAGTTTACAAAGAGGTCCGATGAGGCCGTGGCACTCATGAGCACCAGCCTGAGGTGCGGCAGCCTCGCCTTCGACTTGGGTGGCGGAAGCATCAGTCCCTTGAGCAGGGTCAGGGCAAAGTCCGTGTTCACGTCCCGTTCGTGGACCTCGTCGACGACGAGGTGCGAAATGTTGTCGATCGACAGATCCAGCGACGGGCCGAGGGAACCGGTGCTTTCCTTCCCGTCCCCGCCTTGCGGTCCGGATCCAGAGGTGGTTTTGGAACTCCCCGAGCCGGAGACCAGCATGCGGAGCAGGATCCCCACCGTCACGTAGACGATCCGGCAGGTGCGCTCGTCGATGCGGCGGTCCGATCGCACCAGGTAGCCCACCGAGGACCCGGGCTCTCCCGGGGGAGGGCTTCCCCGTTCCTCCGCCACCCTATTTGCCAGGGAGATCGCCGCCACCCGCCGCGGCTGGGTCACCACGACGTACCGCCTCGGTGGTGGAAACTGCGATTGCGATTGCGACTCCCCGCCGCTGCTCCGGTCCCGCTCGAGGGCCTCCTGGTCTTCCAGAAGGAACTGGGGAACCTGGGTCGACTTTCCGCACCCGGTGGCGCCGCACAAGACCACCACCGCGTTGCCGCGCACGGAGGAGAGGATCGACTCCCTGTGCGAGGCCGCCGGCAGGTCGGCCCGGACCACCGCGTGCCTGACCCGGAGGGATTCGTCGACGATGGCCTTCTGCAAGGGTTGCGCCGCCGGGAAGGTGTGTTGCTGCTGTTTCTGTTTTTGGTTCTGTTGTTGGTTCTGTTGCTGCTGTTTCTGTTGTTGCTGCCCGTGCCTCCTCGCACGCCTGCGGTGCTCGGCTTGCTGCCGGTAGGCCCTCTTGACGGAGGCGAGGGGATCCACCGTTTCGGCAGGCACAGACTCCCCGGCGGCTTCCCCCGTCTCGGCCCCCTTGGCGGAAGCGTAGGCTTTTTCCGCGGCCTTTCCCGGTCCTTCCGGTTGGGGGGTGGTGGTCACGCAGAGGACCGCTCCGTCGTCCAGCCCCGAGAGATCGGCACCCGTCTCCCCGAGGTCCACCAGCGCCGTTTTGGAGGCCCTCCAAAACACCCGCACGGGCTTCTTTTTCATGCGCAGCTTGGAGGGGGCGAGCTTCAGGAGTTCGGAAGGCGTGGTCGACCTCGGGAGGACCACGACTTTCCTGGCCCCCTCTTTAAAGTCGGAGGCACAGCTGCCTCCCTTTTTCTTCTTGTCGTCTTTTTTGCCGCCGCCGCCGCTCTTTTGGTCTTTTTTGTCCTTCTTTCCCTTTTTGGCTGGAACAGGAGCAACCTCCCTAAAGATGGCTTCGACGAGTTCGATTCGGACCTTTCCGCCGCTGTTGCCGTTCTTGCTGCTGCTGGAAACTTTGGAGGCAGCAGGAGGCGGAAGCACCGGCTTCCGGGATCCTTCTCCTCCGCCCTCTGCCGATTCCTTGCCGGGAGTCTTGTTCGGAGCATCGGCATGAGCATCGGCATGAGCATCGGCATCCGCAGCAGCCGAAGCGGCATCGCCAACGCGGAGCTTTCTCTTCCACCGGTTTCGCTCGTGCTCTTCGACCAGCCTCTTGACGAATTTCTTTTCCCGCCGCTTTCGCTCGTGCTCCGAGATTTTCTCGCCGGTCTCCCCGCTTTCTCCCTTCGCCTCGGACAGGCGGATCAGCAGGTCGACCAGGGCCTCCCGGCTCTCGCGGCCCAGGACGGCGCGACCGCCGCCCTTGATCTTGTGCCGGTTCCCGCTGCCGCCCATGGCAAACAAGTGGCGGGCAGTGGTGTGTTGTTGGTGGTGTCCTCGAGCCGCGAGCGCCGCCAAAGCCGTGTCGTGGCGTTCCGATTCCCGGCGTCGATTGTACCTGTGTCACAATACCTACCGTACGGGTACAAGTACCGTACGTACTGGTACTCTAACATCGATGGCAAGGAACAGAAACGGCCCTACCGGAACGAGTACTACCGTACTACCTTACTACTGTAGCTATCAGAGCGGCGGCCTCGAATCGGCTCTCGTTTTTCGAAACACGGATCCACCGACCGTGGACTGCCCCCATTCCAAATGGTGCGAGTTGTACCGTACGACGAGTACGAGTACGAGTACAAGTACGTACGAGTACAACACGTTCGTACCGTTCCTGATACCCTTTTTCTCGCTCGAGCGTTTGACCGACTCGACCCCAGAAGGTCACTATCGATTCGTTCGATCGACTCCTGTCATTCCGCACGGGCAAAAATTACGACCGACTCCTGGCACGATGCACCTATGTTGACGCGGGGCGATGGCCAGACACTCCGAGAGGTGCTCTGCTCGCCAGTCATGTCAGGGAAGAATCGTCTTCCGAACCAAAAACCAAAAAATGAGGGAAACCTCTATCCGGGTACGAGTACGAGCATGGTTGTACCGGTGCGGAGTGGCAGTGTACTGAAGTACCGTATGGATTGGGAAAAACAGCGATCGGGATGCGATGCCGCTCGTTGGCAGCCTCGTGGGGATTAAGTACCACCTGGTATTGTACTGTACGGTACAGCACAGATGCACGGTACCGTATGGGACTTACTCCTCGCGTCGCCCGTCGACTCGTCAAATAGGAACCTGTCGCGGCAAACGCTGCATTTTTTAGCGCGGTTTCTCTATGCATCGAGTTGCCGATGTGCATCGGGAGTACATTCTGCGTGCAGTATCGAGGTACGTCGTACGAGTCACCGTACCTACCGTACTCTGCGTATTGCGGTACGATGTGTACAGCATCCCCGTGCTCTGTCACCCTCTTCGTTTCGTTGCCTCGGTTGATCTTCTTCCGGTTCCATTCCATTCTCTTCTCCACGAAACAGAAACCACGTCCCGAACCGGCGTCGCACCATAGACAAAAACAAACCGATCGTTGGAAGCTCCTGCACGAACCTTGCTCCAACAACAAAGCTAGGAAGAAGCAATTCCGTTGGCGCTGCCGTTTGCGGTTTCGGGAAATGGACAAGGAAGCCCGCGGAAGAACACAAAACGCAACGAAACGAAACGCAAGAAAACGCAATAAAACGCCACGAAATGAACCGCACATAGTTTGGTGAAACACYACGAGTACCAGCACCAGCACCGGCACATCCGGAACGCAAGCAACAACAAATTTCGCAGAAACCAAACCCACCGACGACATGTCGTTTTACTTCGACGACGACAACGACGACCAGGCCTTCTCGCAGCCCTTTCGGTCCCAGCTGTCCTCGGTGCTGTCCTCGCAGACGCAGACACCGACGAAGACAAAGACGCCGCCCGAGGATTCGCAGAGATCGCAGGTGACCTTTGCCGGCGACTCGCAGGTCTTTTCGTTCTCCCAGTCGCCGCTGGTCCCGAAGAGCGATCCCTCGTCGTACCAGCTGAGCGAAGCGGTTGCCTCCCAGCTGCTGCTCTCCCGGGCATCCTCCCTCTGCAAATCCATCCCGACCAAGCGGGACCCGGGCGACAAGCCCAAAACCAGCAACAGCACCTTTGTCTGCCAGAACTGCGGCGCCATCGATGACTACTACCGCGACGAGGCAGCGGGGGGGGTCCTCACCTGCTCGAGCTGCTTCACGCAGTCCCAGGCCTGCATCGAGGAAGAATTCGACTACGAGGACGGCCAGAACATGGGCGTCCGCAACCGGGACGGGACCCTCCAGAAGCTCCAAAAGGCCCCCTCTGCTTCCGGAGGCACCGGCAAGGTGGGCTTCGTACACCGGTCGGTCCCCATCGAGGAGCTGGACCGCAGCAAGCCGCCGCCCTCCCTCGAGGCCTGCCTCGGGGGGTTCGGGGCCGTCCTCCGGGCGTCCTGCAAGACAATGTGCCTGGAACTGATGGCCGTCCCGGTGCCGGCCGACGAAACGAGCGCCGGGAAGGAATCCCGGTGGAGACAGAAACTCTACCGGAGGGTGTCCGGGACCGCCCGGGACCTGTGGAGGGCCTACCTATTGTCCTGGAAGGAGGGGGCCGATTTCTACGGGGAATTCTACCCGCAGATCCGTTTCAGCCTCCGGGACAGCTTTCTGTCGAGAGGGCACAAGATGATTCTCTACAGCACGCTGGCGGCCCGGGCCCGGGTCCTCCTGGCCGAGCGGGTCCACTCGGAGGCGAACGACCAAGACGGCGGCGCCGGTGAAACGGAGGACGGATCCGTCCTCGGCAACGACGACGACAACGACGACGCCGACGACGACAGCGACTCGTTGTCCTCGGAGGAGGAGGACGAGGGGGGACATCGACGCGGGAGGAAACGGATCAAAACCAAGCACAAAGCGCAAGACGACTCCGGCGACAGGAAGGACCAAACGAAAGAATCCGAAATGGATGTCCTGTTGAACCTGTTTGAACAACACGACGAGAAAGGGAGCAGGGACAACCGAAAGAAGGAGAGACCGAAAGGGAAAGCACAAAAACCGGCCGACCACGACGTCCCCGTTCCCAATGTGGTGCTTTCTGCCAACCGATCGCAAAGACGGTTCTCCGAGAGCGAGAGCAACACTGCTCTCGACGGCTCGGAAAGCGGCGACGAAAACAAGAACCACGCCAGCGACGACGAGGAAGGAGACGGGGAGAGGCAAAATGGAACGGACGACGACAAACTTTCCGTCGCCAGTGATGTGTCCGTCTTGGACGGCAACACCTTTGAACACGATCCGATGCAATCCACGTCGTCGTGGAGCCTGAAAAAGCGAAAGCTAATCTGCCAAAAGGAGAGCCTCTGTGCCAAGTCCGGACACGTTCTCGACAAAATGCTGTTGTACCACTTCAAAGAGCTGGCAAAGAAGGCACCATCCGTGTCGTCGTCAAAGAAGAACGGAAAAAATCCCCGGCAAACGTTTTTTGTGGGGCGAAAGGAAGCCGCCCTTCTCTTGCGGCCATCGATGGTGATGGTGGCGGGGATTCTGCTGGTCGCCGCGGGTCCTCACGGGGTGACGGAGGGGATGATGATCGAGTGGATCGAAAACGGGTCCCTCCCCCTCCTGCGGGCCTTCGACACCCTCCTCCCAAAGGACCAGCGGGAACCCCTGGCCATGGTAGCCCCGTTCTTTTGCCTCCCCCTGGCACCGAGCACCACCGTCCTCAGGAACACCGTGAAGAAGGTCCACGTGGCCTGCGGGTACCGGCCGCCGAAGATCAAGCTCGTGGCCCCCCGGAACTTCCCGGACCCGCCTCTCCCCACCCTTGAAGGCGCGGGCGCCGGGGCCCACCCGGTGACCCCCCCTCCGGCGACCCGCGAGAGGATCCTGACCAAACAGTCTCTTTACGCCCCGGGCCGGCTGATCCGGCCGAGCACGGTACCCCTGCTCCTGGGGCACTTCGTCTCCGAGCTCGGGTTCAGCCAGCTGGTGCTTAACTACTCGCTTGCGCTCGCGGGGCTCGCCGTGTCGAACCAGTCCCTGCCGGCAGCAGGCGCGGGGGAAGAGACCCCCTGGATCGTTCCGGACGACTACGAGGAGGAGGAGGAGGAGAAACCCCCACCGGCCCCGCGCCCGCAGAAGAAACCCCGGCCGGAGCGGAAAAGCATCCACGTGGCCATGGACCTACCGAAAAAACTTGTGGAGGAGAACGCGGAAGCATGGGACGAGGAGTCGGCACCCGTCTTTGACCTGAGCAAGCCGCAGGATCGGATCCGGCGGCATAGATACAGAAACAGGCTGTACCAGAGGCTGTGGAAAAAGAGGAAGCTGGCCAGGCTCGGGAAAACGAAACAAGCGTATAAGCTCAACTACCGTTATCGCGTGTCGGCGGGGGGCGATGGCGACGATTCAGACGACGATTCAGACGACGATACCGACGACGACAACCATGACGACGACCATGACGAAACCGGGGGGGAGAGAAGCAAGGACACTATTCCAAAGAGAAGGAGGACGTGGCTCCCGCGCCCGATACGGGGAGCTCGCTCCGACAGACTCGGGGACGTCCACCGGATTCTAGCGGTCGTCGTGATGGCCTGTAAACTTGTTCCGAACTGGGACGAAAACCACCGCTACGTTTTTTCCCGGGGAGGAGACAAGAGCCACCACAACAGCAACGGAGGAAAGCCGTCCTCTGGAATCACCACAGCAGAGAACAGCAAAAATCACTCCGCCAGAGCTATGGATCGTTTTGTTCCCTTCAACCGAGACCATTTTGGGTATATTGGAAATGGCAAGACCGAAACGGACTATCTGAATTTTTTGGAAGAATTCATTTTCCGTGGAAAGTCCTATGCCCTTCCAAAGCTTGTGGAATCCCTGAAAGAAGCTTCGTCTGAAGGGGATGGCGATGCGAATGTCCCGGACGTTGATGATGACAAGGCCTCGAGTGACCGGTGCTTGGTGGAGGAGTCCGATGACGAAGAACCCGAGGACCAAAACGATAGAACTTGCTCCGATATCACCGTTGTCGTACCGAACGATACCGTCGTCGAATGGAGAAGCCGGAGAAAAGAAAACAACACAGGCTGCCTTGTTGGAAGCAAGCGAAAATTCCAGTGCTGGACTCGGCCCAAAGTCGACAGTGTCCCCTATCGTCTAACGACTGTTACCGATACCAAGAGCCTCCGGACCCTTGATTCTCCACTGGGTTCTCTGATCGAATACATTGCCTACAAGACAGAGACACAACCCGATTTGATTCTACAGCAACTGATTTTACTAGACAAGGAAATGAGCGTGAAATACAGGCGCTCCATGAAGAAATGCGATCGCGTCGCTCCAAGCCAAATATACAAATTCGTCATGGGCCGTAAGAAAAAGAAGAAAAGTAAGGTGTTAGCCGTTGACAACGAATGTCAAGGGACACCGGCAAAAGCCAATTTATTGACAGATGATGCAAACGATGACAAAACAGTGGACTGTTCGAATCACGCACGATTGGAAACGATTTCTCTGTTGAGTCCACTACAATTCAACGATGTACTTGCTCAAGAGTCTCCAGAGATCGGTGAAGGTCCCGACATGGATGACGTTTGGAGCGTGGGGGAGAGAGCTTGTGTGTAATTGACTATTGGCTAGCGAAAGCACACGAAAGTGCTACACGATTTAATAAAAGCAATGCATGTTTTCGTAATTCGTTCTTCATTATCACGTACGTGAAGTCAAGCAATGATTGCAATAGCTCTCACAAGTAGAGTGGCTCATGATTTTAATTAAACCAGTCATCTTCGTCATCATCCATTTCCGAATTGAATGCCTCATAACGAAATTCCGCAATCTGTTCTTCGGTGTAGTAAAGATCCTCGAAAACATCTCCCCAGCTAGTCTTTCGACGAGTTAAGTTTTCTGTTTCAAGAATAAGGGCGTTGTCGGTAAAGCGGACATTCGAAAAATCCGCCTCGTTGATTTTCGTTTCGCTTTTTTTGCGGTTCATCGATCGGTAATCAGAGCTCGCTTCCTTGCAAGGACGTTTTTCGTTCATCTTTTTCAGAATATCCTCCGACGAGGGTTTCCCAAAAGCCTTCACCGCTGTCAAAGCGTTTTTAACCTGGTTGGATCTCATCCGGAGCCTTTGAAGCGGTGTGAGCTCCTGACCCTTCTTGGGCCTGTCGGTCTTCTGGCTTGGTTTGAGCATCTGGAAACGGCAATTCATGTCGCTGTCGACAATCATGATGGCACCGGAGTTATCGAATTCGCCGGTGTAGTTAGGAGCAGAGAAGAGGGTGATCAATTTTCGCCCGGCAAAGAAGTCATAGCCTTCTTCTACAACCTGGTGTGCTCGAACAATCACATCTAGATCGTGTTTCTTGACGAATTCTTCGACAACGTCTTCTCCGAAAACATATGAGACTCCACGATCGTTCTCATCCCAGCCCTCGATGCCGGGTTCTGGATCGGCCCACAACAAGTCACAGAGCAGGCCCTGCTCGGGGAGGTCACAAGGACGCTCAATAGCATTGATTTGCTCGAGGTCCTCCAATTCCGGAGACAAACCACCATGCACGCACATGATCTTGTCCGAGATGATAGCCACAGCCGGCATACAATCGAAGACTTCAACAAATTTCTCCCACAATTCAGGATTGTACCTACGCTTGCATTCGTCGTAAAAACCGTACATGCGGCTCAATTTCCTCGATTCGTGATTCCCCCTGATCATATGCACCCTCTCTGGATCTTTGAGTTTGAGGGCAAAGAGGAGACACAAGACCTCGATCGATTGCTTTCCTCGATCGCAGTAGTCGCCCAGAAACAAATAACTTGTGTTTGGTGGACGTCCAGAATGGTCCATCAAGCGCAAAAGATCGAAATACTGACCGTGTAAATCACCACAGATCTTGATGGGTGCGTTCAACCGCAAGACCATGGGCTTGCTGAGAAATAATTCTTTCGCGGCGGAGCACAATGAGATGATAGCATCTTCTTCTAATTCTGCAACAGTTCCAGGCTTCTCGCTGCTGAGAGCAAATAGCTGCTTGATGATTGCATCTAGGTCTAGATCGGCCATGTTAAATTTTGGTGATTTCCTTTTGTCGGATAAAGGTTGAACTTAATTGCCTTAACTTCCTATTCTGATAGTTTTTGAGGTGCAAACAGAAATGGTATTCCGGTAAGTACGAGTAATATCTACGTACTGTATTTTATTTCCACTGCCTGTCGGAATGCTACGTGTGCCGTACCGTACGTTAGGGAAAGTTGATGATGTGATGCTTAGAAAGGTATTACGGTAAATACTCGTACCAATTTAGGTTCGCTTTTTGGAAGTGCTGGCATGGTTTGTGAATGAAGCAATGCGACTGTGCCTCGTTCGATACAGATTATGTCTCTTTGAATTTAATGAATTGACACCAGAGATAGGAAGGCTTATTTTCCTTTTTCCAACGCTTTAGCTTCGTTAAAAACCCTTCTGGAAAAACTCATCGTGAAGAAATAATATTTTTGAAATCATTACTATCGGTACGTATTCGCCCCGTAAGAAAGGTTATTTTTTATTTTTCACAGCCATTGAGAATACGTACGTATTTCGTACGGTATTTCGTACTGTAATGGTAAGTAGTACTGAACTACGAAGTACGAAGTACTGTACTTCGTACTTGAATTAGAATCAAAAATTGGAACTACATTTTCAGTACAAGTCCGTATGTACGGTACCTACTTTCTGGGAGGTTATATTGCTGAGAATAGGTCATAGTCATTCTTACCGCTCGACTTGTACGTTCTGTTAAGGTATTTCAATATTGTACCCAAGTACTGGTAGAATTTAAAGGTACGGTATTTCTCCGGATGCCACTTGTAATCTGTAGGGTCATAAGAGTCATAGCTTCTTAATCCGATTTTAGCATAGATTTCATGTTGTTTTAAATTCATATTTTTCACAAAGCCTACGGTAACCTACGTACTGTACGGTACGTACTTTTCTACAATCCTTGTAGCAATAGTATATACTATACTGACCCTGTAATGATACCCTACCGCAGTCCTTTCGCATCCGTGATGACACCTGGTTCGTACCGTCTGGTGAAGTACGGCCCTCTACTGCATTGTCCCATGAGTCTTCGTACCTTTTTATCAGTAAGAATATTTATGTTTGTTGCCTTCAACTCAGCAGTGTATCGAGCGGTAGACCCACAAGTTCGGCTGTAACATTCCAAAAAGCCAAACACATTCTACGACTTTCCTTCTTCTTGCTGTCGTCCATGGGCGACAGAGAGACTGCATTTGAAGGAAAGGAATACCCACGACACGCCTCCTCCAATTCGTAAGGAACAGATATCTTGAGGAAAATCAAGATCAGCAGCGTCAGTGACATACAAAAATCGAACGAACAGCCGAAAGCTCGAATCAAAGAAAGCAAAATGGAAAACAATGATATCGAGGAACCAACCGTTAGGAGGACAGGGAAAGGCCAGAGGATTCGAAGGATGGCTTCTCAAGTCTACCTCCCACGTCTGATCAAACGCGATTATGCGTTCCACCAGTCCTCAAATCGTGTCTGCGTTAAAAACGAAAACATGAAACAACTCTTTCCGCTTTTATTCAGAGATTGGTTCCATGTAATGATGCGTGTAAATTGGTATTTTTCTTTGCCTTTTTTTCTAATGATTTGGTTCGGGATGATTTATGTATTTGCATTGGCGTACATGTGGATAGACAGAAAAAATAAAAAATTAGATTGCGGTCTTGCGGAGCCTGGAGTACCGATCGACCTTGCAACAGCATATGCCTTTTCGCTGGAGACATGCACAACCGTTGGTTGTAAGTTTGATGTATCGATAGCGATTTAAGTCGATTCATTGCAATATTCATGGCGATACCGAAATCGTAACAGCCTTTATGCAGACGGTATTGATTGTCTCATTCATTTCACATGTTGAATTTTTCTTTTTGTTCGGTTTACAACAGATGGGTTGCCGGGAAGTAGCAACGGATTTTTCGGGAGCAACTGCCAAGGACTGCAGTACCTAATCACGACCCAAATGATATGGAGTATGATGTCGAATGCCTTTTTGGTGTCGTTTTTTTTTGCAATCATCACAAAATGCGATAAGCGATCTATTCAGATTGTCTTCTCCAAAAAACTTTGCGTAAACGTCGTTGAAGGGAAGGTTTGCATCAATGTACGATGCTATGATCTGGTACGTTTGTTTTAATATTTGCGTGGACTGGTATTGGATGCCTCGCCGTTGCGCTGCTATCCAATTGTTGTCTAGTTTTTGCTATGAGCTATATTTTATCAACACATGTGTCTCTTGCTATCACCTCGTTGCAAAAATCATCCCTTCAGGATGCGGCGAACCCATTGGTTGAATGCCATGCCCGGATGTATCTCATTGATCACAAGATGAAGTTTCATCCACTGAGATTGCTCGAACCAAACGATGATCTGGGAGGGGTTCTCTATCCGTCGGCGCCAACAAACATCATCCACCATGTTGACCATCACAGTGCTTTGTCGCCTTCTTCTATGCCACTCACCGAGGGTAATCATGGATTGACGCTGCGTAGTGTAGATTCTGCAACTGCCAATCGCGAGGAAATCATTTGCCCAGTATGTGGGGAGGGTTTCGGCACATACGAGCGGTTAATGGCACATTTAAAATACCAAAAAATCGTTGAAGAACAGGATGATTACCCAATACAAGGCACCCATAGGGGATTCGAAATGCCAGATACAACTCCGGTGACACTCGAGCAGGTTCAGAGACACATTGAAAGCAAGCTTAGTGAGATTGTTGTTGTTGTCGAAGCGATCGATCCTCAGCTGTCGGGCACCTTCCAAGCTTTACAAAGCTACAAATATAACGATATTGAGTTTGGGGCAGACTTTGAACGATGCATGTTCACTTGCGGAAACCGATTTGTAGTTGACATGTTGAAATTCCATGGCATAATCTACCACGATGAAATGTATGGTCCTCATTTGACGAACGATGGTCCTAATTTGAACAACTCGGGGATTGATCGCAATTCCTCCGATACTGATGCGAAGTCGCGGAATAGTCTTGAATGCGAAGCATAGAAACTGCTTTGCAAGAGTACCGCATGTATCAAAATTCAATAGATAGTAAAAAGTGGTGTAATAGTTCTTATTACTATTAAAAGAGGTAATGAATTTTTCATTTAATGCATAGCAGCCCCACCAGAACCACTGGGGAAGACCATTCGATACGGCGTGTTCCACTGCAACAATAGTAACGTAGTTGCCTTTTGTGATGCACATGTCGTCGTCCAGGTACAAAACATAAAAAAAAATCCTTTGAAGGCAATGCTAATCCAAGAATCGACGAGGGGAAATGGGCGATTCCCGTTAATCTGGTAATGATGGAATCATTATCTGTTGTGTTCAGATTTCCCGGGATGAGAGAACCTCCTAGGAATTTTACCATCATGCAATTGTTTCTCTTTCATTGCATGACTAACCGTGTTAGTATTATGTATGATGAATGAATTCTACAAGTGCTTTCATAGAATACTAAACTTCATCCATGACAGTCCCCACCATTCCCATGATTAAATTGTTTTGGGCACACTCTAGTACTGGCTCATCGGTTAGGTTTCTAAACCTTTCACATAAATGTTGTCCATCATGGTAATGTCAACCCTAGTTTCCAAGTCAGTTGGTAGTATAACGCTACACTGAAAATTTCATTGAACAAATTCTCAGCCCCTTTCTTATTTCTGTTGAAACTGTTATTCCTAGTGTTAATGGATCATGCCAATATTCTTGTTGGCATTTATTAGTAATATAATTTTCTACACACTGAAAAATTGATTGTTTTCATTGCACACCAAGCATCCTACAATGGCCTTTATAATCTGTATCAGCAACTTATTGCACTACCACCACCTAGCTTCCTGTGTAGAAATTAGCAACTTTTGTGGGATATAAAATACTTCCTGCCTCTGTTCCTCCTAGTAGATGAGTCTACTTATGACACTTTTTTCCTATTCGTGGATGACTGTCCTCAAGTTAATTAACGCTCATGAATAGTTTCATCTCTATATGCAACAACAAGACTCTTGGTGCTTGCCAGGTTTCTTTGCACATCTCTTCCTGCTGTAACAACAAAAGGAAATATTAGTATGGTGGAAGATTGACATTTCAAGTAGTAGTACTAGACTACTACAGCCATGTAAGAATATATATGCTTGTTGGTTAACCTCATTGAAATACACCAATCTTGTTTCTGAAGGGTTCTCAAGACAAATGGATTGTGCCTTTCACACAAAATGCCTTCATGATGAAAACATTCTTGCCCACCATGAACTGATTGTATTACTACTAGTATTGTCATATGGTTTGATTGATTTCACAACAGCCAGATCTGACCAGTACAGCACGACTGGTGCGGATTCTTGTCCACACAAACCAGCAGGAAGAAAGAAACATCATCATGCAGCAATTACTAGTCTTCTACTAGTACTACTACTAGTACTAGTACTACTACTAGTACTACTACTACTACTACTACTACTACTACTAGTACTACTACTAGTACTAGTACTACTAGTACTAGTACTAGTACTAGTACTAGTACTACTACTACTACTACTAGTACTACTACTAGTACTAGTACTAGTACTACTACTACTACTACTACTAGTACTACTACTACTACTAGTACTACTAGTACTACTACTAGTACTACTACTACTACTA